CTTGATTGCAAGAGTGACGCCGCCGGAGACCCTGCGGAATGCGAGATTCTCTTGGAACGGCCTGTCCCACCAGCCGCAGCCAAGCCTTCTGAGACGACCCGCACAGCAAATCCTGAGCGGACAGCCAGCCGCACAGTGCCCACACCGTTTGGTCGCCGGACACTTTCTGTTCCTGCGACAGACAGAGTTCAAGTCACGCTACAGCCAATGCCCAAAGCCAGCTTCAGCCAGCAGGGCATTCTGTTAGGGCTTGAGCCTGAGGCAGTGGACTTTGTCTTCCGCTCTTTTGACCGCTCATGCCTGGTTCGAGATCGTCCTGACTTTGTGCACATGCACCCTGCCTCACAGGCCTTCCTTGAGACTCTGCCGTCCTGTCACCTCGACAAGCAGTTGGAAGCCATGCAGGTATACGTCGATGGCTCTTACTACGGCACCCAGCAACCTGCACAGGCGGGCTGGGCGCTCGCCGTGCTCGGGCTCCAAGATGGAATCTGGGGATGGGAGGGCTTCTTAGCGGTCAAAAGTGACACCAAGGGTGACCACACTACTTTAGGGGTTGAGGTCGCATCAGCTTTCCAGACTGAGTTAGCGGCGATAGCGCATGCACTCGCCCTCTGTCAAGCATGCCCCTGCCGCTCGGCAATCTATTACGACTGCACGGCGGCGGGTGACATTGCAGCCGCACGAGCCGCCCCAGAGTCACCAAGCGCACTCACTGAGGCATGTGGCGCCCTTAATCACCTGCTCTATTTGCAATCCAGACTGCCGGCCTTTGCTCACATCAAATCACACGAAGGCCATCCAGTCAACGAACTCGTTGACACACTTGCAAAATGGGCTGCCCGCAGCACTTCTGCACACTCCTTGCCCAAGGAGCTTTTCTGGGCGGCACAGGAAGGGGTCCTCCCCTGGCTTTGGGCTGCTGCAGGTTTGGTCAAGGCAGTCCCTCGACCGGATGAGTCGGGACGCATTCGCGACACCGGACGTGATCCTGATGAACACACCAGGCCCACCTTGGCGGAGGTTCTCCCCTCCGTACGGTCATCGGATCCGGTAGAAGTCAGTTTCTGCATCCGGACGGTCACTTATAATGCCCTCACTGCTTCCACGACTCTCCAACGAGAAAGCTTGAGCCAGCAACTGGCAGCTCGACAGATCGCGGTCGCAGGCATCCAAGAATCCCGGAGTGGGCATTCTGGCCGTTCCAAGCAAGGCACTTACCACATTGTCGCAAGCCCAGCCAGCTGTGGCGAGGGCGGATGCCACATCTGGTTTTCTGCCAAGGTTCCGTTGGGTTTCTGCGGGGATTCCGCCATTTACTGGGAGGATAATTCTTTCACGATCCTCTTCAGTAGCCCGCAAATCCTGTTGGTCAGTGCTCGAGCTGGAGGAAGTCTTTTCGCAGTACTGTCAGCTCACGCTCCCACCAACAAAGCGTCACCCACCTCCAAAGCAACATGGTGGGAGCAGCTAGCCCAGGTTTTGGGCAAGGTTCCTCGCAGGGCCACCCTTCTGCTATGTATCGATGCCAATGCAAGACTGGCAAAGGAGCAAGCCGCGCATCCGGATAATGCTTACTTCTTCCGCGCAATGCTTACGGCTCATAACCTTACTGCCACCCCGGCAGTTAGTGCCTCAGGAGCAGAGCTGATTTCCTGGATCAGCCCGTCCGGTCTGACTGCCTGCCTGGATTATGTATGTGTTGAAACGGCCATTGCCCCAGCCTTGTCTGAGCATCAGGTTCTTTCAGGCTTTGAAGGCCAGGTGTATCACGATCACAGGCCAGTCCAGGTTAACCTCTGCCTCACCAAAAAGGCACCTCAGGTTGTTGCCAAGCCACGTTTTCACGCAGACTTTCTGCGTACGCCGGATGGACGGCAAATGCTTGAGAAGGTCTATGCCTGTCTTCCCTCCATTGATTGGGAGGTCGATGTAGACGAGCATCTACGCCGTATCAACGAGCATTTACAGTACTCTTTGTCTGTCGGTTGTCCTCGCTCAGCTGCTGCGGCACGGTCGCCTGTCATCTCTGATGACACTTGGGCGCTGGTCAGACACCGCCGTGAGCTGCGCAGAGAGCTCTTCAGCCGCAAGTCAGGTAGTAGACTGAGTCTTCTGCGTGCATGCTTCCACACGTGGCATGGCCGGCCCGTCAACGAGGCTGATGAAAGGCTCCCAGCACAGTACACGGCATTCCTCACGCTTCAACTAGCAGATCTGAATAAGGCCATCAAGTCCGGCATGCAGAAAGATTCTGCCAGGGCCACACAAGAGGCCTTTCACTCTGCGCGCAGCAGAGGGCCGGAGGCCTTGTCAGCCCTTCTCCGACACCTTATGCGCTCCGGTCGCCGATACAAGCCCCCACCGTTGGCGCCAGCAATCTGGGACAAGACTCAGCAAGCTTTTGTTGATGCTGACCAGGCCCTGGGCGACCACTTCGCCCTGGCCGAGCGAGCGGAATACGTAGAGGCCGGACTCATCGCAGCACCTCCGACACAGCCTCTTGATCACGATGTCGAGATACATGAGGCAATTTCGGTGCCGAGGCTGGCGCAGGCCTTTGCACAGTTGGCCTCTCGTAAAAGCCCGGGCATCACGGGCCTTCCAGCAGAAGCCTACAGTGGCGCGCCTATTGCGGCGGCCTCAGCGCATGCGCCGCTGCTGCTAAAAATCGCCCTCCGCCAACGCATGCCACTTCTCTGGTCTGGAGGTGAGGTGGCAGCAATTGGGAAGCCACAGAAGTGCCCTCATTCTGTTGAGGCATGGAGGTCAATACTGCTGATGGAAGCTGCCGCTAAGGGCATAGGCAGGGCATTGAGACCTACCCTTGTTCAGGCGTTTCGCTCAATAAAAGCCACTGGACAAGGTGGCAGCGTCCCACGGGAACCGTTGCAGTGGCCAATGGCGGCCATACGCGGCCTCAGCAAGCCGCTCAAATCCAGGGCCACTTCAGGAGGCATTTTGTTCCTGGACGGCCGCCAGGCTTTTTATTCAGCCATCAGACAAGCCCTGACAGGAGTTGAGGCCGAGTGCCCATTACACGTACTGGAGCGGCTGGCCGACAGGTTTTTCCAGGACGATCAGGCCAAGCTTGACTTCATTGCAGTGGCCTTGGCGCCTGGATTACTCCAGACGACTGGAGTGCCAGACATTGTGCGTCGAGTTCTCAATGCCTCGTTGAGACGCACTTGGTTCGTACATGGCAAAACCTCCCGCCGGGTCTACGAAACACACTCTGGCACGACGCCAGGCGCACCCTTAGCCGACCTCCATTTTCAATTCCTGATGGCCACCGTGTTCGCACAAGTTGAGGCGCAAGTGGAAGAGGCTAACCTTGAAGCCTGGTGCCCATCAGCTCGTGGTTCTACCTCTTTCAAGATGTTGGCCCCGTCCTGGATGGATGACTGGGCTCTGCCTCTCATTCCCCCGTCACCAGACGTGTTGCTGGAACAGGCTGCCACCTTGGTTTCCATTGTAGATGCTGCTTTGGCTCGCATCGGTATCGAGGTCAATTATGCCGCCAAAAAGACCGAACTGGTGCCCTTCTACTTCGGTCCGGGAAGTCGCACTGCGAGGGGCCAGGCCTTCCAGGCCAATGACTCCTTTGAGGTTGTACTCCCCCGGGGTTCTGTCAAAGTGCGGATTGTCCCCGAATACGAGCACCTGGGGTCAATCATTTCATGGACGGCTCAGGAGACCCCTGACATCCGGCACCGGCGGCTACTCGCTCGCACCATGGTTAAGTCCATGAACCGTGTCCTTGCCAACCCCTTTTTGTCGCAGAAAGAGAGGGCTGATCTCCTGGTCAGCATGCCGTTGGCAAGGCTACGACACGGAGCCGGCTTCTGGGACATTTCCGTTCCATCTGCTGCCACCGCCTACCATGCGGCTTACATGGAAATAGCGAGACGTGCCTTTCGAGCTATTACTCTCGTTTCGGCTCGAGGCCGCACTGACGATGAGATCTGCGCTGGACTGGGACTCCTCTCGCCTCAGCAGGCACACCATATTGACATCATCCGCCATGCTGCTTGGTTGCTCGATTGCCCGGATCGGGGGATGGCTCAAGCGATATACTGCCTCCTGCCGGGGCCAGCAGGAGTTAAGGGGACGGACACTCTTGCCCGGATGGCGGGGTCAACAAGCGGCCACTGACAAAGGATGGCTTTTCGTGCATGTTAGGCCTTCTGAGGCACAGACACAAAGGTCCTACCTTTGTGATATTTGCGGCTGCGCCTTTGCCACCAAGGCTGCATGGCGGGCCCATGGTCGGAAGGTCCACCACACCCGCTCCCTATTATCGCAAGCCACTTTCGGTACCCGGTGCGAGTGTTGCTCCAAAGAATTCTGGTCGGAGGGTCGGCTGCGTGAGCACTATCGGACCCACCCTCACTGCCGCCAATGTGCCATCGAGTCCGACATTTCCCCTTCTGATCGGCCGATACGCGCATCAGAGCGAGCTTGGCTCCCGAGCACTACAGTGCCAGGCCCACGTCCTTGGTGGGCCACCCAAGGGCCCTTTCCCTCAGAGCCGGAGTCGGTCCCTGTCCCGGTTTCAGGTTGGAATAGACTTTTGGGAATTTTGAAGCGAGGATCCAACCCCGACTTGTATGGTTTTGTCTTGTCGGTGGTTGAGGTCGCAACCCAGCACTGTCTCTCGCTGGAAGATGCGCCCCTCGCCATCCTTGCCGATCAACAAAGCGCTCTCGTACAGTGTGCGCTATACGCCGCTGAGTGTTTGCATCGTGGCGAGATCGGCAACTTCAGCACGAAGCAGTGGCAGGTTGTTACCGGCCATTCACGTGCCATTTTTATCCCCCAATGTGGGGCTAAGCTTCAAGTGCAGCTTCCTGCGGTTTGGCAGGAAGTTCTTGCCTTGAGGCGATGAGGCGAACTTGCATGCAGTGTGCACCGAAGGGTTCAACCATCATGCCAAAAAAACCCCAGAGCCCAAACCCCTAGAACCCTAAACCCTACATCCGAAGCCCGAAGCCCTGCAGGTCTCAACCTTTTCCCCTGAGCTTCGATTTCGATGGCCGGCATGGCTCTCCGTCTCATGGCCGTCAGTTCGTTTGCGGATTTTAGGGCTTGTAGGGTTTAGGGTTTCGGGTTTGGGGATATATATATATATGTATATATATATGTATATATATATATACGTATATATGTATTGTTGTTTTTCCGAAACCTCCCAATCCAAGAGGTTCTTCAATGTTTCGCGTAATGGATGTAAGGGTTCCATGAGGGCTCTTGTTATGTGGGTTTCACAAGGGGATCCCTAAAGCCTTGTCCTACAAAGGCTTGATGCCGGCCTCGCGGCTCAATAAGGTAGACCTGAGCCGATGTAAGCAAGCCCAAAAGTTTTAGGGCCCAAATGCTCGCATGCCATCGCATGCCGAAGCCACGATCCTGTGGTCGATATTATCCGCAAGCGCTAAACCCTGAATCCATAACTGCTCGCCCCAAAGCCAGGCTGTCGCCGACATGATTAACGAACATGGGAAAGAGCCCCTCAATTCAACAAATCCTGATCCCTAAACCCTAAACCGGCTCGACTGCAGCGTCCAAACTTCGGCTGATGATATAAATCCTGCATTACCTTAAGGACCCTAAACTATGGGAATTATGGTATATTCCTTATTATGGGTAATGCAGGATATATATCATCAACCGTTTGACACTCCTCGGGTCTGCGCTCTTATCCCTCCTCGAGGGCCTAGAAGCCTCCAACACTCCAAGCGCCCAGGTTTTGCTGGGTTTTCTGAGCTTGCGCTTCTGGGAGGCAGAAATCTGCAGGTCAAATGTCGGGGCGGAAATAATTACCTATACCATCTAGCTTCCTTACTATTATTACATTATAAAGGGCTCCATACTCGTTTATGGTCCTTACATAGTTATGCAGCGAATCCCTTTTCTGTTAAAAAAAGGCCCCCTTGTTTCCAGCTTACGTTTTGGGTTCGGAGCTCAGAGTTCAGAGTCTGGCATTCAGGCGGTGTTGACCAGAGCTCCGGAATGAGACTGTGCTTGGAGTTGAGTTGCATTGGGAGGTCGGTTCTAAGGCTTCTAAGACCCCTGCCCCCTCCGCCAGGATGCAGGATTGAGTTGTTTGGTACCTCGTCGGATGCATGTGGGGTTCTGGTCTTACATGAAGTGTTTTAGTTTGCTGCATACTGCTCCTTGAATTCAACTGACTTTTGGAGCCGTGAGTCAACAAGAAACTACCCGCAACACTCAAGATGTGTACAATCGCCTACCAACACGGCTGCATCAGCCCTTTGAAAGTTCTTTTCGAAACATCAACGCCGGGTCTTGACTCCCCCGCAGGTTGTTCAGACAGCCCACGAAGCCGTGAACCGTAAAGCGTAAACTGCAGACTTCTGCGTGCAGGCATGGCTCTCTTGCCTGCACCAGCTTCAGGTAGCTGCGCTTGTGTTCCTGGTGCTGCACAAGTTTTAGTAGAGGGGAGATGAGTTTTAGTTGAGGGGTGATGGGTCTTGTTCGGGATCTACACAGAGGCTCCAAAAAGCTTCACAATGTGCGAATGTATTCCCTAAATAAAGCACCTACCGGTACTATAGCCACTGCGAGTTGAGGCGGCATCCTTGAGTACGACGTGTTGGAGTCCCGGTGCAAGCCCATTGACATGGTTTTATGGAACCGGGCCCAGGAACACCCCCGAATAATGTATACCTCTGTCATTAACAGTGGGGTAGTTCTCTAAATGGGGGTGTCCTTTTTTGGAGTCGGGAGTCGTATGTACTGTATTGGTGACATAGAAAGGCAGGTCTGTAGGTAAGATGGGAGACCCGTCTGGTTTCGGGCCTAGGGTTTAGGCACCCTTTGCTCGCCGATGTTAAGCCCAGCATCGCCAAGGTTCCTCCACTCACCCAAAACCCCAAACCCGAAACCCCACTTGGAGGTTCAGGGGTAGTTATAAGTAGGGTTATAAGTCCCCTAATATGGGTTATAAGTATAGTTATCTTAATTTTAAGTGTACCTATAACTAACCATGAACCTCCAAGCACTCAGAGGTCTCGTTGGTGCTTCCCAGACGCCGGCCATGCTGGGCTGCGGGTGCTTGTGTCCACGGGGCTGCAGGCTCCGCAGTTCTAATTGGATTCTAAGCCATCGATCTGTATCCATCTTGCCCTAAAGCTTTGCATCCTTAGCCGCAAAGCAAAAGCTTAAATCCTTGTCACTACCTTTATCACTACCTCGAACCAAGACTTCTTTTGTGCAGGGTCCCTGTCCCTGTCAATTCGTAAACCTGAATCCCTGAAACCTCTGAGCCCTAAGTACATTTAAGTACTGAGGGGTCTGCGATTGAGGATCTCAGGGTGTAGAGTGTAGGTGTAGGCTTTTCCCACGCGAAGCTGGAGATACTCCAGCGGTAGGGCTTGTCTAGGAAGCAGCCAACTGCAAGCCGAGACAGTTCCTTTGAAGGAGGGACCGGCCCTGATTCCAAGGGCCGCCGTAACCAGTGAAGCGATTATAACATGTACTGGACACTACAATGCCTTAGACTGCTTGAAGAGCTAAGTGCTATATGATATATGGGTAAAGGAGCTCATAAGGGCAAGCCGACCCGAGTTGCAGGTGTGGTGCGCGCACCTTGGCTCTGTCACCCACGCCGCAATGCGCAGCTTGTGGTTGGCATCGGAAGTGTACCGCGCTCCTTTCGCTGCACTTGAAGACATCAAGAACAGCTGTAAACTGTAAATCCGATCTTCCACCCCCCCTACGGACTAAGCCCGAAGCCCTCAAGCCCTAATCTTATTCTCAAAACCAAAATGGCCGAAACGATGAACACCCTCGACCCCAAAATGCTATAAACAGCAGCACAACCAAGCGCATCCTATTCCACGGTCTGGCATTCAGATTGAGAATTTTTTGCTGGTGGAGGTCTCGTGCATCCTCCGCTGGGCAAGAAAGTGCTTTGTAATTCGAAGCTCTACATCTTGAGCTCTCCTTCATGCCCTAAACCCCTAAGACCTCCACCCTACAACCCAGGCTAAAGCCCTCGAGCCCAACCTAAAGCTCTGCGCCGGCCGCAGGCCTACCCTAAACCCCTACACCCCAAACTCTAACTGAACACCCATGGGCCGGAACAATATACCCTGAACACCCAAAGCCCGAATAAACCCAACCCTTAAACCAGACTCCGGCATAATTAGGCTGCCCGAAACCCTAAACCCTAAACCCTAGAGAGGGGTCCTCACAGGTCTTTGCTTTTGTCTTCCACGGCGGTTTCGCGGAGGAGACCATGGGTGCTGCAGCCTTCGTAGAGGCCACGCCCAAAGGGTCCAAGGTACTGTTATGGGGAATACCTCCCCAAATCATAACAGTAATTCCTAAAATAGAGACCCTACATTCTACCATAAAGGCACTTTGGACCCTTTGGGACGGGGTCTGTGAGGGTTTGGGGCTCGGGGCTGAGGGTGTACCTATAGTCTCCATTGTAGTTCCTTTTTTTGGTTAACCAGTTTTATGGTTTAGGATCCTATAATGGAGATTGTGGTTAACCAAAAAAGGAACTACAATGGAGACTATAGGTAGAGTCCAGAGTTTGGTGTTCTTTCGGGTTTGGAGGTTTATCAGGCCCATCAGAGCTTAGGACACAGCGTGAACATGTCAGAGTTCCACGGAGTGCTATGGCATGGATGTACTCCTTCTTGATCTCGAAGCTTTGAACCTGTACCCATAACCCTGCGGATGGGTGCAGGTCGGTGCAGAAGATAGAAAGATGTGTCAATTTTCATTTTGAGGCCCGGTACCCCAAGGTTGAGGGATACCTAAAGCTTCAAGGTTACGTAGCCGTTCAGAGTGCAGCAAACGCTTAGGAGGCTTAGGATTTCAAGGCTTACGGCTTAGGGGAAGCCATTTCAGCCACCATCGATTAGAGACCAAATCACCATGTTTGCAACTGATTTAAGCAAATCTGGGACAGGCGGTCATTCTACGAACTCAACAGGTTAGGGTCTACATTCAGCCGCCAGCCGCCAGCGGCAAATAACTCTAAATCAGATGGGTGGGTCTTGTTTGCTTTTGTCCTTTCCCTCCCACAGACTCTGTCTTTTTTTGTTCTTCTCTCTCTCTCTCTCTCTCTGTCTCTCTCTCTCTCTGTCTCTCTCTCTGTCTCTCTCGACCCCCGCCTACCAACCGTAGGTACATACCAGGCATACATACGCATGTACATGCGTTACATACTTACAGACACGCGCAGCTCGAGGGTTGACAAGAAGAGTCGATGCGGCACAGGTAGAGGGTTTAGGGTTTAGGGTTTAGGGTTTAGGGGTTTAGGGTTTAGGGTTTAGGGGTTTAGGGGTTTAGGGGTTTAGGGTTTAGGGTTTAGGGATTTAGGGTTTAGGGGTTTAGGGTTTAGGGTTTAGGGGTTTAGGGTTTAGGGGTTTAGGGTTTAGGGTTCAGGGTTCAGGGTAATCCTAAGCTAAAAGCCAGAAAGTTGGAAGATGATAATCCTAACCCTTCTATGGTCAATTATAGGGTATCCTACCATGAAACCATATTCCAACTGTCTGGAGTTCCCTTTAACACCTAGACCCTAAACCCTACAGGTGGCCCAAAGAGGCTGGGATCTTCGGGTCTCGACCACCAGAGCCCGCCGGAGCCTGGAAGCATGCCATCCTTTCCTGCAGCAATTCCTAGGCAGGGCGGTGGTTTGGGGCTTGGGGTTTAGGGTTTAGGGGCTGGTGTGTGGAGGAGGGGCTTCGAGGTTTTAGCTTTTCGGGCTTGGCGAGGCATGAAGTAGGATAGTGGCTAACCCAATGGCAGACCTCGTCCGTCGAAACCCCCGCTCTTTCTTGAAATCAGAACCCCTAAGCTTGCTCCAAAAAACTACACACCCGAGCTCGTGGCTTTACCCAAGTGTAGGAGCATGAACTTGCAGAATATCTCCGTTAGTACGCCAGAATCCCCACCTTCCGCAGCAACACAGCGAAGTAAGTACGTAGAGCACTGCAGAACTTGCTGCAATCCCTCACAACGGGTGAAACCTGTGTGCCCGAATCGCAGTTTTCATGCAAGAAAGAGTAAATTTAAAGGCTTCAACTAGCAGCCCTCAAGCCTTCACAGCCAACACTTGACATGCACATGTCCAAGAGCCATACTTGCTCAGAGGTATACCGCTGTTTCATTGTACGACGCCAGCTCTACGGGGCGAAAGATCCTTGCAGTAGCCTTCATGCTTCTCGTGGTTCAAACGCCAATGGCAGCTAAGACTGATGCCACAGCAGCGTTTGGGAAGCTCATGGCAGCAGTGACCAAATGTTTTGGTTCGGTGGCTGGAATAAACATGAACAAGTTCAAGCACATTTGGACAGCAGCGCACAAGCTCGACAAATTGGATCCGGTGGACTTGGTTTTTGATGTAGTCAAGACTGTCAACCCCACCGCGAAGGGTTTACACATTGTATACGTGACCCTTCGTGCTACAGGTACGGTCGTCAAGGTCATTACAAAGCTGACTCCAGCAGGTGCTGCACAAGTTGGCACCGCATATGTGGTCAGCGAGATTGCAGATGCATTGATCAGGACATGTTGACGATGTCGAAGCAGAGCTGTCATCAGCGAGTCGGCTGTGTCAGCCTTGTCGGAGTGCAGTCATCCGTTTCCTATGAAAGGTTAGTGGCCTCTGAGGGTCTGGCGAGAAGCTGCGACATGCTTTCCTGTCCTAGGGTGTTCGAGCGCTTTGATGTTAGGGTTTAGGTTTTGCGAGCTGTTTCTGCAGCTGTTCGTAGGGCCAGGCTATCTTAGGCTGATAGAAGCTTTTTTACTGTCTGGGTCCATGCTGGCATTTTGATAAGGCCCTAAAGCGGGGAGACTCCCCTACTGTCCAGACAGGCCCATGTAAACCCCTACCGGTATGAAGCGCGGCAAGAAGTGACTGCGACCCCTACAAGACTTCATAGACTAGAAGCCTTCTCTGCAAAGGCTTGGGTGCTTTCCTCGAAGCTGCGGCGGCCTTGACGATCGCGCCATGGGCTGCCCTCGCACCCAGGGATGCATTTGCGGCGGTAGACCTTACGGCGCTATGGTTTGAAGTTTAAGGCTTGAGCTTTGGGGCACCTTTGGTGCGATAAATGGGTTACTACTACTAATTAAGTTCAAGGGTTCTACAGGATCTTGTGCATTATAAGTTGGTCATAATGTGTCAATCGTTTAGTTTTGGTGGGTCTGGTGCCTTGGTCTCAGTAAGTCAGATATACTTTGGTGCAAATAACCTAGGTGGGCTTATCCGAAGCATGACAGGACAGGAACCAGCTTGCAAATGCCTAGAGCCACCAATCCGTAAGCACCGAAGATCCTCCTACAGCACTCCTTCGAACCTCCATTCTGTTGAGGGTTTAAGGTTCTGGTTGCGCTGTGTTTGCAAACATGTAAACCCTCAACCCTAACCCTAAACCCTAAACCCTGTACGTTCAACCCTGGACTCTCGCGGCCCAGGCGGTGCTGTGCAAGCTGGAAGTCCAGCAGCACAGCATCTCGGACAGCATTTCGTCGCGAGAGCTGCGTGAAGCGATGCGAGGCTTTTGTGCGAGAGAGCGCTGAGGGCTGTATGAGAAGGGAGTGCTTTCTAAAAAGTGTACGGTAGGTTTGAATCAGAACAAGATCGGTTGAAGAAAGTCGTGGTTTTCGGTTGGAACCCTACCAAGCTGTAACTGCACATCTCCCGACATGTTGGGCGAGGAATTTTCGGCTCCATCTTCATGAACCTGTAGTCACTGTAGTCCTGTAGGGTGTACGCCGCCGCAACGCAAGCCTCTGGCCCCGAAGACTGCAATTTCTAACAAAATGTTGTTTACATACCCAACATAATAAATATTTAGGAATGTAGAAACATCTGTAAGCCTTCATGTAGTATAATGGACATTGTACAATAATGATATGCTACTAGAATACTATCCCCTTCAATGATTCAATAATGATATACTAATACAATAAATAGTATCCCTGCCGCATGAAACCGAAGCCTCCCCGATGGAACCGAGGCGACACTGGCGCCTACGACATGGCCTCAGCTGCGAGCATCCGTTGTTTTCGGGAATTTGGTAGTTTCCAAAAAGTAAGGGTACCTTTCTTTGGGGACCTGAGAATTAGGGTCCTCCTATGTAGAGTACTAATTGGGGTCCCTTGTTTTCGGAAAATCTTATTTGGGATTCACGGTAGAGGGTCTTGGGGCCGTGGGTGTGGATTTCACCCTTGAAGTATTGCCGGCGTTCAGTTGGACCCGGCATCGTATGTTCATGTGGCGCTCCTTGTATTCTTTAGACCGTAAACCCTAAAGTGGTTCTCCATCCGGAGGAATTCACACGTGGTGGCACGCTCTGAGTCTGGAACGGCGGCGTAGCTTCCTGCTTGAGAGGCCCATGTCATTTTTGGTGGTTCCCCTGGTATTTGTGCATTGGGCTATTTGTCACACTGAAACCACGCCGTGTTTCGCCGGCCGTCATACCTGAGTTACCTCTTGTCGTTGTAACCTCAATTGATCTGAGGTAGCCTGCTTTTTGATTACCTGTGAACCCTATCAAGCCCAAAAATTGACGTCGAGATACGCTCATCCCGCCGAAACCTAGTTTTTCGAAACTAGCCATGAACCTTCTAAAGCAAGGTCGAGAGTGGGACTCTCGTGGCCGCCATCACTTCTTTGACAGCTATGGTCCTGGCGAAGGCACCATGTTTTCCTTGGACGGGGATGTTATTGGATGTCGAGGCCTCGAAGGGTGTCGACATAGCCTACTTTGGTAGGGTCCTAAAGCATCTTAAGCCCTCCTTCTTGTACGGTTGATGATATAAATCCTGCATTACCCATTTTAATAAGGAATATACCAAATTTCCCATAGTTTAGGGTCCATTAGGTAATGCAGGATTTATATCATCAACCGTAGTTTGAGGCAGGAAACCCGAACCCTGAACCCTGAAATCCTCAAGCTGACAGCCCGCAGCCCCCAGTGTTGCATGTTCCGACAAACCCCGTCGAATGCCAAGCCTAATTTTTAAATCCTGACGTGGCTCTCCTGCGAAGACCCAACCTCTAAACTCCAAACCAGGCAGGCTTGCGTGCGATCTCTGCGCCTTCGGAGGCATCTTGTATATCTCCTTCCGGTTTGCGGGAGACTGTCTGAAGGTCTTGGTATTACCTGGAGCTGGAAAGTATGTAGAACAATGGCCTTTTATTGGTATTGGGCCATTGTTTTACCTACTTTGGGGGGGGGTTAGGTACCGGTTAAGGAACCATAGAGCCCAATCATGACAAGGAAGAATCAGGGTCTGTTCCGGGCCTCTGAGGGCTTTGAGACTCAAGATGGACATGAAGCCTCCCGAAAATCCCAGGGCCTAGGGTTTAGGGTTAGGGTTTAGGGGTTAGGGGTTTAGGGTTCAGGGTTTAGGGGTTTAAGGTTAAGGGGTTTAGGGTTTAGGGTTCTCAACATCGAAAAGCCCACGGGTTTCAGTTCCGAAGTAGGGTTAGAAACGGTTAGGGATGCACACTTCGGGTTTGAAGGTTGTCCCAAAACCTAGCTTCTTACACCTCAGGTGTGGAGCGTGTAGGGTTTTGGCCGGGCTTTCCTTCATATGTTCAATTTTGCTATGCCAAGAACAACAGAACGATAGTCGTCCTATGGATCTACAGGGCATTTACGTTGGGAGAGGATGGAGATAGAGCTGAAGGTTAGGAACCCGAACCCAGAAGCCGCGCGAACTTGGAACCCTGAAGCTTTAGGCAAACTTTGGCAGTGATCACAATTTGCGTAGAGGCTTCCACGTGGGCCACTGTCTTCAATACGTGTACACACGTCTAGACCCTAAAGCCCCTAAACCCTAAACCCTAAAAAGTGATTCGCTTCGAAGTTGAAGAATAAGAAGCAGCCATGAGCCTACTCGTGAGGTTCACGAAACCTCGGATGAACAAAAAGCTGCAAGATGATTTTAATACATATATGTATACATATACATATATAGGGATACAGAGAGGAAACCATTCAACCCATGTACTCTTCTTACACCCAGGGGGGGCCTACCGGGTTTCCCCCTCCCTAATAATAACTGGAATAGGTTTTGGGGCATAGTTTACTATAACTACAGTATGGAACCCCCCAAACCCTATTCTATTCATTAAGCTTCCTACATTAACATGAATGGAATTGGGAACTTGTATGCAATCTGTATGCACCAGAGAGTGCACCTACTGCGGATTGGGTCCCTGTGTGTGAGGGCGACGAATCATATCTGCTACAGCTGTTTGCGCTGCATAGCTCAGTGGACCTCACTGTCAATGAGACGAAGAAGTGTGTTTAGCTTCTGGGTTCTTATCTCACCAGAACCAGAGTGTTGACTCAACAGCAGTAACCATGAACAGGTCGGAGAATCACTCCAGCCTGCCAAGTAGAAGTGTCAGTCGTCAGGGTGGTCCGAAATTGAAGTCGGAAAGCCAAAAGACACAAGCCCCCCCTACCCCCTGCCACAAAAAGTACGACAGAACTATGAAATTAAAGCAAAAGGTTTGGGAGTTTAGGGTTTTGGGTTGTCTAACCTTCGGCTCATGTTGACGTCCTCAAACAAGCAAGTTGTCAACTCGGAAACCCCACCTATGCTGTGCAGTGTAGTCAGTGTAGTTGCGTTCTTTGACCAATCAGCTGCACTACAATGAGGAAGCCAGGTAGAGCCAACCTAACAACAAACTGCACTGGAGAGTACTAGCTTCCCATAGACCCGAAGTCCTGAATCCTAAACCCTAATCTAGGGCCACGTGCAGACAGAAAAGAGAGGGTTGAGGGTTTAGGGGGTACCCATAGGCTCCGTAGTAGTTCCTTCTTGGGATTACGTTATAAGACTCTAAATATAAACTCCAAAAAGGAACTACTTTGGGGGCGTATGGGTAGGATCTAAGTAAACGCTAAACCCTAAACCCTTTATAGAACCCTTATAGATCCCTTTAAGGAACCCTTAAATTAAAGGGATCCTTTTAAAGATACCCCTAGAGCTAGGGCCGTGGGTAGAGCTGATTCGAGCTGCTTCCTTGTGCAGGCCTTGCTGTACTGCGCGGTCCTGCGAGAGAGGACGCGCCAGGGCATGGGGCTTTTTAAAAAAGGGTCTAGGGTCTAGGGTTTAGGGTTTAGGGTTTAGGGTTTGGGGTTTGGAGTTTAGGGTTTAGGGTTTAGGGTGGGGCTTTTTCCCAAAGGGTCGTATGTACTGTTATGGGGGATACTTCCCTAAGTCACACTAGTAATTCCTAATATGGAAGCCGTAGATTCTACTATATCGGTACATTGGACCCTGTGGGTTTGTGTTTAGGTTTGTTCTTTTGTACCTGCTGGTGCTTAGGAGAGAGTGGCGGAGGGAATATAGGGACTACTATAAGGGAAAATATAGGGACGATGAATGAAATCCTGGGGATCCACTCCCCCTTGAGCATATGGAAGTCTGAAATGTTGCGAATTTGTCATCAGAGGCCTACAAGAAACCCCCAACGCCTTGTTAGGGTTATGAAGGCCCTACTGCGCCGGGCCGATAGTTCGACCCACTAGCCTCAACATGCTTTACAACACATGGGCCTCCACCCTCTTCCCCATATACTCCTAACACAAGTGAGCCTGGGGGCCTCCGCCGGAGCTAAAAAGTATTATATTTTTAAAACGGCGTAGTAATTACTCCGCTGGCCTGCGTAGGGTAAACGGCACTTTGAGGTACTCCGCTACTCCACAAGAGCTTGTATGTAAGATGATGCACAAGTGGGTCGAAACTTTCGGCCCAGCGATGTATATCATGGAGCCCTCGTAGCAAGCCTTATGCAACCCCTTCCCCTAAAGTTGTGGTTTTGGAGGTGCGTTGTGACTTCCAGATTGTTTGCTGTACAGTTTCGGGTCTCCGGATGGAGTAAACAACATGTTAGCTTGGGAGCGCAGGACTTTTAATAACCGCAGCTCGAGGTTTCAGAGTGATTCGGACTTTGGGGTTTGTGCCTGGCAGTGCTTCGGTTTGAGTATGCAGGCTACCAGTAACCTCCGGAGTTTTGCGCTTCGCGTTTGTAAAGTTACGGCCTTGCGGCTCCAATTTATCTCTTGACGGCACTTCGGTTCTGGAAAGGTTTTGGAAGGCTTGTTTGAAGTTCCCGCGTAGCACTTCAGTTTCGGACTCCTGGGATGTCTCTACATGGTAGGGTTGGGTACTAAATCTGGCTTTCGGTTTGCATGACTTGTAGAAACACTTCACTTGTTTTGGTCCGCACCAACCCCTAACCCAGGAGCCTGCGGCTCGATCTTCAGCGCCTCAAGTCCGAAGCCTAAAACCCTAAACCCTCAAGCCCCCTTCGAGCCCTTACCCACAACATCCTGGGCATTGGTACCCTCAAATCTTACAGCCCCAGAAGCCTTTGCAGTAATCCTCCAAGAAAAAGCAGAAACAAAAGTCCTGAAACCGTGAATCCCCAAACCCTGAGCTCGACATCCTGAAGTTGTAAACCGCCCACTGTAAGCTCTGCACCCAATTCCATGTTTCTCGGAGGTCTAAAATTCAAAAGCACCGAAGTCCCGAAAACTCGAACCTCAACCCTAAAACCCGCACAGGTCGGGATCGACAGAGGTCCCACCCATCAATGTTGATGCTTTGCTGGTTGGCCCGGATCCCAAGCCGGTTAGATGTTTACAGGACTCAGGTTTCTGCTTCAATTTTCACTGCTCGTCGTTGAATTCCCATGTGTATCGAGCTAGGCTATAGTCTTTATTAAAACCCTGCTATAGCTATTTACGCCTAGGTCCCTATATGAATGGCTTGAACTTCAGTTTCTGGTGTAGGTTCGAAGCTGGGGGGGTCCCTAGCAGCACAGAAGAACGGACTTCGGCGTTCAGTTTAGGTGCGTGGGGTTTAGGGCTTAGGTTTTTGCGGTTTTAGGGTTCAGGTAAGTTAAGGGTTTCAGGAATTTCGGGTGTAAGGTTTTGGGGTTTCAGGGCTTTTGGTGTTTGGGGCTTTGGGGTCTGAGGTCAAGAGTTTAGGGTGTTGGGGTTTTGGGGTTTATTAGGGTTTGGGGAAAGGGGAGGGACAGAGTTACTAAAAATCGTTCCCTTTTGGCAACCCAAAAATAGCTACAGCGTCCCCCCAAACTCTGTTTATAGGATCCTTAAGGGGGGGTGGTTCAAGGGGGGAGGGTACTAGGGAGCTTTGGGGAACCTTAGGGAAGCTTAGGGAGTATTGGGGAATAATGGGGATTACTAGGTTACCTACCCCCCTTGGACCACCCCCCCTTAAGGACATCCTAATCTGTGTTCTAAATGCACGACGTTCTGTTCGCCCATGGATTGGGTTTAGGACAGAAGGACACCAGAGGCTCTTGCGTTGGTTCCCATTCGAGAAACGCCTTGGCTACACGGTCTGCCTAGAGGAGGTTTAGGGTTAAAGGAGGTTTAGGGTTTCAGTTGAAGGTCACCTCAAACCAAGGCTTAAACCCTCATCCCCAAACCCCAACACTCTTCTTTGAACCCTGCCGCTTTATGAAAGCCCATCCCCTAAACTCTAACCCCTCCCCCGAAGCCTAGTTCCCTATCCCAATTCCGAATCGCTGAGCCTTTGACCTGAACTTCTCAGGGGCTTAAATAATTAGAATAGGGTTTAGGGTTTAGGTTAGGGTTTGGGGTTCCTTTTAAAGGGTTCTATAAGGGTGTCTATAAGGTTATAGTATAGGGGCCTTAATAATTAGAACAGGGTTTAGTTGCCTTGTTCCGAAACTCCACAGCTTGAAGCGGGGGGTCGGGTCTAGTCTAGGGTTTAGGACCTTGAGCTGCATAAACCTACTTTTTAGTGGGGTCCATGAAATTCTCGAAGATCCCAAACCGAAAATCTAAAACCTCTTAACTTAATGATTTAATATCGCTGAAACCCCAAGATCCGTCACCCCAAAATCTGAAAACAAAACCCCAAGGCCCCACCGAAAATCCCACGTTTCAGTCGCCCCAAACCCTAAACCCTCTAAGCCTAAAGCCCTATACCCCAAACCCTACATCCTCAAACCCGCAAGCCCTCAAACCCTAAAACCCTATAATCCCTAAACCCTGAAACCCTACAAACTAAACCCTAAACCCTAAACTAAATCCTAAACCCTCAAACTAAGCCCTCAAACCCTCAAACCCTAAACTAAACCCTAAACCCTCAAACCCCATATATAATCCCTAAACCCTCAAACCCTCAAGCCCAAGGGTCCCCAAAAGACGACGCCGGCTCGCTGTCGACGATCTTCGAGGCCGTAGTGGACGAGCCAGAAGGCTCGTCACCGAGCACTTTTTTGGGGGGTTTAGGATTTCGAGTTAGGGTTTAGGGTTTAATTAGGATTCAGGGTTTAGGATTTAGTGTTTAGGAGTTAGGGTTTAGGATTTAGAGTTTAGGGTTTAGAGTATGTATGAGGGCTCTTGGGTTTAATGGTTTTAGGGTTTTTAGAGTTTTACATATCTATGTCTACATATTATGATATATATATATATATAGGGTAGGCACCTCGTGGTAGTTATTCGGGGGGGTCAGCATATATGTATATATATATATATATATATGTATATGTATATATATATATATACATATATATATATATACATATGTATATATATATATATACATATATGTGTGTATATACATATATGTCTATATGTATATACATATATGTACATATGGTATGTAGTCTGTATATCTACCAGTAGGCTCCTAAAGGGTTTTGAGGGGTCTAGGTGTTAGGGGCGTAAACAGAATATGTGTACCCATCTACCTGTCTGTCTATGCCCTGACGCCCTCGAACAAAAGAACACAGATGGAACCATCATTTTCGTTATCATCAGAAAAACAACAAACTTCACCCCCCCCATCCCCCATCACTAAACACACACACACACACACATATATATATATATATATACATATATATATAGATTTATATTTATTTATTTAGTGATTATATTGAATATATATGTATAAACAAACAGCAACAAAAACAATCACAAGCAGGCCTACACTACGAGCTCGTGGGCCTCCGCGACTCTGAGCGCCTCTTCGACTCGGAGTCTGAGGGTTGAAGACCAAAAGCGCGCGAGAATCTTTGAAGGTTCCTTTAAGGGTTCCTTCAAGACTCTAAGGGTTCTTTTAAGGGCTCCTTTAAGGGTTCCTTTGGGGTTTTAAGGGTTCCTTTGAGGGTTCCTTTAAGGGTTCCTTTAAGGGTGTAGGGGTTTCGTGCATGGCATACTTTAAGGGACCCAAAAAGGACATAAACGTAAGCATGTTACAAGGATGTCCCTACCTTACTGGGCTTCATTATAGGGGGATTATATGGGATATCCCTATCTTGATGTTTGCTTATGTCCTTGTCTTCCCTGGGCCCTATTACGGTGCATGGCATGCTTAGGGTTTGTCGATGGTCAGCGATACAGGTGTCAGCAACCGTAACTGCCTAAACCAACGTTCAAGCCCTAAACTGCAAATCCCAGACATCGAGACTGCAAATCCTGAACTCTAAACGGCATAAACAAGATGTTCTAGAAACCAAACCCTACACCCGACCTCGAACCCTCAACCCCAGGCCCTTAACGCTTTTGTGTCAGGTGGTAGGGGTTTCCAGTTCAGAGTTGTGGGTCGCAGGCTCAGAGCTCAGTAGGTCGAATGCAGTGGTCGGAATCGAAAACCTAAAGTCCAAAGCACTCGCTTTCAAAACCGACTTCGACCTTTGTGCATGGAGAAAGCTTGGCTCGAATTCGTACACAAGTGTCAGGGACTCAAGACCGTACGACCCGACTGTAGATGGCACTGCATTGTGGGAACCTATTACTTACCTTTAGCACATATCTTTTTGAGTCGCTCTGCTATTCCGCATTCACGATCAAGACGGTTGTCGAGCGTAGGTCCAAAACGGTTGAAACTAACTCTACATTAGTACATGCTAACACGGTTACACGGTAGAACAAAGACTGGGAGAGTGTGAGTCCGCTGTGCCTTTGCTGCGCTCCTTCCGAAAGCAGGCAAAGGATGGAATGTCGCGGAAAGTGTAAGTCTGTGGGCTGCGCGTCTTTTGCACGATTGCAGGTGTGTGACATGCATAAGAAGCCACTGTAGGGCAACATCCATGGCAGACTGAATATTTCGAAGGGACTGCTTAGCCTCCCGATGAACTTCTGAAGAATACTCTCGCAATCCTAAGCGGTGGAAAGTCCAGCTAGAAGTAGGTCCTGAAAAAGCTGCCTGGTGTTTTTGTGATGCAACTACTTGGGGACCCGTTTGTCAAGGCCCCATGTCCTCCGAGGAGTGTTCTGGCTTGAGTAGGCCTTTCGGGAGTTCAGGGATAGTCCCAGAGACTCCAATATTCCTTGATTCAGGAAGGTTCCTTAATTCATATTAGGGATCCTATTATAATTTACGATATATAGATCTTTAAATAAGGGATATTGGAGTCTCTGGGTTAGTATTGCAAGTGCTTTCCGGCTTCAGCATATTTAAGGTCTAAACAGGAGCTGTAAGAACGGGGGGGGTGTCAGATTTGGGAATTCCTGGTGCCACGGTCTCTTAGATGCCAGGCAAAGATGGCTGCCGTGCCTCGGCAAAAGCTCACTGCCGTGGCAGTGGCGTTGAGGGTATGGGGTGTAGGGCTTTCGGCTTGGGGCATAGGTTCTGTCATGAAGAGGTGGAGTTACAGCTTCATTTTGCTGCATGCTTTGCGCAGGGCATACCGTGGCCTGTAACCCAAGAATCTGCAATCCAAGACTTGAACCAAGACCCCTTTAAGCACCCAGACCTCTCCGAAGTTCTCACCTCTAACGCACAGTGTGTCGACATACTGTGAGATGCTGGCCTGAACTCATACCAAAACATATCTCAGACACGAACACCCCAAACCCCAAAGGGGGAGACGCTACAGCTGTCAGTGAGGCTCTGGATTTTCAGAAGTATCGCAGCCAAGGAGTTTCGGAAATCCCACGCAGGTACCCCGAGACTGGTCAATAAGAACAAGACTTAGGGGTACTTAGAAATACTTTTTAAGTTTTTGTTATTATAATCCCTAAGAAACAGCTAAAATTGTATTTTTTGCTAGGGTTCTAAGTTCAGTATAGAAGAGAACAAGAACGAAAGGGTTTTTGTATTTCACCATCAACGAGAATGGTAATGGTGAACGTGGTAACCTTTATTTGTGGTGATAAGTAACCATAGTAATCGTGGCAGTCATGGTACTTGAATCATGGTATTCCTAGTAGCCTTTGCAACCATAGCAATCATAGTATATAGTAGTGGTACTCATAGTTATCATGGCAATCGTAGTGGTTCTGCTCACAGTAGCCATGGGAGTCATCATGTTCATCAGTATCAGAACTACCCTTATCACCATAATCCCAAACCTTCTTTCACAGTCTATAGTCATAACCTTAGCCATAACTTTCGGAACCAGACTAATCCGAACAATACCAACCACAATCAGTCAACGAATAACACGAGTAGTAACAGCAATACGGTAATGTCAATAGTAATGCCCCACATGTGGGTGGTTGTTAAAATTATGGTCCCTTTTTGCGTCCTTAATATAGTACGGCACCTATTACTTAGGGTACCGAAAAAGGGACCCTAATGTTGACAACTACCCATGTGAACCCTTCATTCGGACAAGTCAAGGGATCCGCAACCTCCACCTCCGTCATGGCACGAAGGTTGGGAGTGGATCGGGGGTAAGGGGGGGAGGCGTGTGGGCATATGTCCATTATGAACTAAAAGCGGCTGCGCAGGTACCTCGCAAAAAACCATTCCACTGTTATTGCAGACAGTGCCGTCTCACCCTCTACAGTTGCACTCACATGGACCGACTCCCAGGGCCATTGTGCGTGTGTATTGCGTGGCGTGGCATGGCATGGTGTGTGTATACTGCAAGATACAAGCACGCGCACGCACACACGCGCACACACACACACACAACCGCACACGCGCGCACTTTTCATCTTGCAGACAGGTTTGCAGCTCGGGTGTTTGTGAATTGCTGTTTCCGCCGTGAATGTGTAGAGGTTTCTGTCAGGGCATCAAATTCATTTCTGGGAGTGTGTCTGTGCAACCTACCCGAGCGCTGAAGTCATGTCCAAGCATCAACCTAGAACCGGGTTGCTCATGCACGAGACAAGGGCGCGAGATTCGAGTTTGGGGGATTGGTGGCACTCGGATGCAAAGACAGGATGACAGGGGATCCTGCAAGGGTTAGTATGTAGACCCCTTCCCTGCTTACCGCGTCCCCTGATCTTGCCCGCAGCCAGCGATGCAGTTCCGCATCTCTGTCTGGAGCCCCAAAACTCTAAACCCTAAACCCTAAACTTAAACGGGTCCTGCGGCTTTGCGGGTGGTGTCCTGTAGCCTGCTGGTGGTGTTCAGGTGTTTTCATGCTGATCTCCTCGTGCTATCCTGCTTGTGGTCGTGGTGGTCCTGGTCGTGGTGCTGTTTGAGGGGTTAAGGGTTTAGGGTTTAGGGGGGGCGACGGTGGCATGATTGTGGACTTCTTCGCACCTGCCAGGCTTACCGTGACTGGCCACCACAACCTCATTGTTGCAACTCGCCAGAAATGGATAGCCAAGTCTTTCTCCCCTCAGCTGACCCTAATTGAAGGTCGAGGGCTTTGCAGGACTCTGTTTAATGAAACCAAGGCAAGACGTAGAAATTGAGTCCGAAATTCACCATGATATGTCGTAGTTTCGGTATTAACTAATGTAGCACGTTAGGATCTATAGTTTATTTTAGCATATGTGGTAAGAGATTCGTATGCCGTCGTATAGCATCCTGAACAAAAACCCAATGTGTGATCTGGGGATTCGTCAACATCAGCTCCTACGTACCCAAGCCTTGTCCATACCGGCCTCAACCTGCCAAGGTTCACGGCGTGGGGCTTTTCAGTTTTAGGATTTTGGGTTTAGGGATGTTTAGGGCTTCCGGGCGAGTGCAATTTTCCGGATTCTGGGGTTTGGGCTTGGAGCTTGAGGATTTGGGCTTTAGGGTACGTACCCCGGAACAGTGAAGCCTCCAGGCCCCGCCCCTAAACCGACCCTGCCCCAGTCTTCTGTCAGGCCGCCATGGGCAACTCTTAGCACGAAAGCCACAACCAAGACACCCAATTTCTGAAGCCATCTTCCCCAACCCTTGACATTGCACTCATCAAGTTTTAAACTCATTGCCCTCATGCCCTCAAACCATGCTAAAGGCAGCAGTTCCCATCCTTTTCTCCTAGATTCCTAGATTACACGCTATCAGCTATCAGGAACCTGAAACCCATCCCCGAAATCCTGAAGCCTGAACCCTAAACTCGAAATCCTCGACCCTGAACAGTAGGTCCTACACGCTAAACCCTGAAAGCGATTCCAAACCCCAAGTGGCCCAGACCTGAACCGCAGTACTCAGGCTCGAGAAGCCCTGAATTTGGAGGATCACGGGACTTAGTAAGTATGGTTATAAGTACATTAGTTGGAGTTAAAAGCAGTTCTAAGACTAGTCACCCTAGTTACTAAGTCCCATGGCCCTTTAAGAATGCTCTGAGGATTTCATCGACAAGGAAAAGAGCAATCCGGAGAGTCGGTCCGCCGGCTCTTTTCTTGGGGCTAGGGTTTAGGGTGTAGGCTTTTCTTTGGGGGCTACGGTTGAGGGTTTAGGGTACTAGCATCGATAGGTAGGTAGGTCCTAGGCAGAGAGAGAAGGAGATAGACGGACAGAGAGGCAGGCAGGTGGATTTTAAAAAAGGATGCAAGGAGACAGAAACAGATAGATGGAACGGTGGGTAGATAGAAACAAGGAGAGCCCCTAAACCCTAAGCCCTAAACCCCTAAACCCTAAACCCTAGATAAACCCTAAACTCCTAAACTGCGAAGCCTTAAGCCCCAAAACTCCGGAAAACTAAGTTTACATCCCATTTAATTTGAGCGGTTCTCTAAATTAGGGTCCCGTTTTTAGGTCCCCACAGTAGTACGGCACCCTTATAAGAAGGACCTTGAAGGGTACCCTGATTTGGAGAACCACCCATATGCAACAAGAAGCTCTCAATTATTTGAGGTATACTCCGTGCGCCATTCAAGTTTTCTGGCATCTCCCCGGACTTAAGTACGATACCCCAATCTGAAACCCTAAGGGTCCATGTACGCAAACAGTAGATACATTGGGCCTTTAAAGTAGTCCCTATATAGGTATATTGGGGCCAAAGTATATACTATTTGGGTACATGGACCATTAAACTGGGCTCTGCAATGGGGTTTAGGGTTTAACCGTTAAACCCTAAACCCCATTGCAGAGTTATAAAACTCTTACTAATTACAAAGAACCCCATATAGAACTCTTATAGGGGAATCGTGGACCCTTAAGGAAGGCTCTAAGAGAACGACCCATGTGCTAGCCAGGCTCTGCTCCAAGAAGCACCCTGCACAGGAGGTACAAACACCTGGCAAAGCCACTTTGGAAGCAGGAAGACTGCTTTGGTTCAATACCTAGAGGCTCATTTCCTACCCCTTCTTTAGTGTACCCAGTTTCCCATATAACAGATCCTAACCATCCTAAAAAAGGGGTAGAGTATGAGCCTCTAGGTAGGGTTTAAGATTTAAGGCCTTTGGGGTTTAGGGTTTAGTGGAAGAGTGCTTTGCTTCAACCCCCTTGCAGTAGCTTGTTGTAAGAGTTCTAGGCATGTTTATGTGTAGTCGAGGTCCCACGGAAGTACCCTGTACCCTTTTTCTCCCGGGGTCTCCTCACCAAATCTGCATATGGTGAACCCAGACAGTTGGAACATGGATTAGGGATGATTAGACCTAGGATTCCATATACTCTACTTTCAGGGTATGAGGGTGATGATGTTCCAACTTTCTGGCCTCTATTGTAATACGAACTTGGGCACCCTAACTGTTGCGAGGATGCTCGGGAATGCACTCAGGCAAGGGCACCACGACAAATCTAGCCAAGTTCATGGTGCCAACTGCTTACGCTATTGGACTTAGGGGTTTAGGGTTGAGACCGAGCTCATGCTTGGGATGCGAGGTTTACGTTTTGAGCGTGTTGGCGGCAATCTCTGTGCTCACAACCACCTTGGGGCTTTGAGGGTTTAGCATTTAGGGTTTAGGATTTAGGGCGTTGGGGGTTTAGGGTTTAGGAGCAGAACCCCCAAAGCTCTAGGGGCAATATCCCCAAAGCCCTTGTCATTGCTTAGAGTTTCGGAGGGCTTTGCGTTTACGTGGCTTGGGAGTCCGAATCGGCACGAAAACCCAAGCACTCGTTCAGACCTTGAACCTCATACACAACCCGGATCTGTCAATTCGTACCTAGACCCGCTACCTTGCAAATCAGCCACATCCCTAAATCCGCAATCCTTAAAGTCCGAATTAAAACGCAAACCCTAAGCCGCGAGCTCTTTGAGAAACTAACGTAATGCCCTCCAACCTCTTGACATCCCCTCATCCCCTGCTGAGGAGCTGCGTAGGTAACCTTTAACCTTTTGGGGTTTATATAATCCTCCCAGACTTGAGAACGCTATCTTTTTTTTGGGCTAGGGTACTCAGCCCCGAAGCTACAAAAGCTTTAGACACCCCCCCTTTTTCAAAGATCAACTAGAGCCCACCAGCCGGTACGGAGCCTGGGGCCGGACGCTGGACTTCATTCAGGGTCTAGGTTTTTAAGTTTTAGGGTTGGGGGTTTAGGGTTTAGAGTTAACGGTTTTAGGGTTCAGGGTTTAGGGTGTAGGGTTTAGAGACTTCATTTAAAGGGACCCTAGACTTCATTTATGTAGGGTATAGGTTTTTTTTTTTATGTTGGGGTTTTAGGGTTCGTGGACACCGAATCCAAGGAACCTAAACTTCAATGCCAACCATAGACAGGTGTAAAATCTCGAAACCCATACGCATAGATATATACATATGTATAGATATATACATATGTGTATATACATATATATATATATATATATATATATATATATATATTTATTTATACATACATATATACCTATAGATGTAGGTATGTGCATGTGTGTGTGTGTGTGTGTGTGGGGGGGGTAGAATTAGGCTAGGGGTACCCTGTATAAGGGCTCGTGTTAAGGATCCTGCCGCTTGGGGATTTGAAACTTAGGGTGACCAGCTTCTAAAACTCCCAGAGGTGCATGTTCATGACTTTCCAAGTACTGAACCAAAGGCTCCATGTACCTTTATAGTCTAGGACCCAGAGTAGGCCCTTATTCCCTTTTTTGATGCTTAGGTTCCCTTATAAACCCCTTTAAACCAAAAAGGGCACCCTTTTTGTTCCTAGGTTACTCTAAGGTCTAGTAGTAGATTCCTAAGCCTTGAAGGGCTCCCTATATAGGTACTTTAAGGCCTAAGTATCTGCTATAAGGGTACATGGAGCCTTAGGGTGAAGCTCCAGTGTCCCATCGCGACAGTGACTCCAAGGTGTTGGCTGTTTGGGGCACCGAGACAGCGGAGTCCGACCTCTACGTGACCAGCTTAGTTGGGTTGAGGGTTCAGGGATTTAGGCTTACAGTCAACCCCATAAAGTTGGAAACCGGATTGGGGCCAAATAGTGCTGGGATTCCCTATACATTACTCTTAAGGATAGAGTCTATCGGGTTTCCAACTTTTAGGCTTCTACTGTAGTTGGGTTGAGCGTTCAGGGTTTTAGGCTTAGGCCCTCCCGCCTAAACCCTGCACCCTTAACTTGAGCTTGAACTCTAAACATACAAACCCTAATCCCTAATTAAGCCCTTAACCCTAAACCCTGGACCCTAAAGCCTTAAATTACCTAACAGGAGCAATACCTAAGTTGCCCTAAACCCATACCCCCAAAGCCTTAAACCCTACTTAACCGACTCTAATCCCGACACTCTAAACTGTTGTCTCCTTAGGAATTGTTTTTTCTTTTTGGTCATATAAAACCAAAGAGAATATCAACATATTTTGTTTATTATGGTTCTAAGGGGGGAACAGCAAACTCTAAGCCCTACCAAGCAACACCTCCCAAAGCTTAACCTGGAGAGCCCAATACTCTAAACTAGGAGTAGACTTTGACTCAATGTACGAAACCCTAAACCTGAGCCGACGCCGGAGAGCCATAGAATGTAGTAGAGAGATCTGGGTGGTTGTACTCTGGTAGACGATCAGACCCTGTTCGAGTGTTGAAGCGTAGTTCCCGATAACGAACCCTTAGCCCTTGAAAGCCAATATACCCTTGTACAACCCATAAAACCCTTGAACCCTGTTTGCAAGATCCTTAGCTTCGTATCATCAACCGTTGGCCGTTGAACCCTGGTCTACTGAGCTTCATAGTTACTGTTGTGATGAAGGGGTATTGGGCTCTACTGAACGGTGGGGCGCGATCTCCGAACGTAACCTGAAACCCTCAACCGCACTTATGCACTTGGAGCTTCGATATTGGTTAGGTTTGCTTTCGTCAGGGCTTTGGAGCTCATAGCCCTCATACTTGTTCTCATTGTCCTATCATATCATCATCTACAACATCACGCCTCTTGACTATAGTCTCCATTGTAGTTCCTTTTTTGGTGATTCATTGTAATGGTTAGGATCCTATCATGTAAAAGGTTGCTTAACCAAGAAGGAACTACAATGGAGACTATAGGTAACTTCTACTTGATCATTATTTTGCTTAGAGATGAGCTGTCCGAATGAAGCAAAGAGTCGAAGTAGCTTCCGCTAAACCTTTCTTCGCGCTTTTTGATTGGAGGGGGACGGTTCAGGGTTTAGGGTTTAGTGTGGGGGGGGGGGGTCGGCATAGGCCCTCCGTGGAGTGCGTGTAGTGTATTCGCGGTATGATATTGATATGGCCACTACGGCTGATGATATAAATCCTGAATTACCCATAATAAGGAATTTAAGGAATATACCATAATTCCCATAGTTTAGCGTCCTTGAGGAAATGCAGGATTTATATCATCCACCGTACTTAAATCCCGACCCCCTAGCCTGAAGCCTAAAACTGCGATCCCCAAAGCTATTCACCCTAAGTCCCAAACCGAGGCCCCGTACTTCTCCAACAAGCCCATGAATGTCGATGGGGAGCTGATGAGGTGCAAGCCGTGCAAGCTGAAAGTTTTCGGTTCTGATAATAGTGATAACAAAGTCATAATAATAGTAACAGTATATTAATAGAATAATAGTAAAGATCAGAAGTACTGTAACATAGTGCTAATGACAATCAGTGTCACGCTTGGAAGTTTCCGAAGAAAGTGGCGCAGGGTATAGCTACAGCATAAGGCAGCGGGTGTAGGGATTCTTTCCCTGCGGACTCTACTCGTACGGTGCCCTAAACCCTAAACCCTAGGTGTATGCGCACATGTGGAAGCTTTTGCTTTCTGGAGGCCCTAAACTAAACTCTCCCTCAGTTCGAAATCTGTGACTACACAATGGTTAGCTGCTTCAACAGAGCTTCAGCCAGGCTTGTATAGTGGCCTGTAACCTAGTTTAATAGTAAGACGAGAGATAGCAGTAACAATAACAATTGTCATCGTAGTAATACAACCAACGATAATCATAGCGATGATAGTAGTTGCAAGATACATAGGAAGTACAATATTTCACAATAGTGACATGCGATCTAGCATAGACCTGGGCCACATGCTGAAGCCGCGCGAAAAGGCTCCATGTACCCATATAGTAGGTACTTAGGCCTTAAAGTAGCCATATTTTTTAAGGTATATTCCTTAGTTAAGGGGTTTTGGAGTCTCTGGGAAGAAAAGGGCAGAAGCAAAGCCGGAAGGATGAGACACCGACTCGGGGTTGTCAGCCACCGGGGCCATAAGCCGGAACAGCCGAACCAGGAGTTGCGGGAGTCCGGTGGGGTCCTTGGGGGTTGTTTAGGGTTTATGGTTTAGGGTTAGGGTTTAGGGGTTAGGGTTTAGGGTTTAGGGTTCAGGGTTTAGGGTTTTAGGGTTAGGGTTTAGGGTTTCAGGGTTTAGGGTTCAGGGTTTCAGGGTTTAGGGTTAGGGTTCAGGGGGTCCTTAGCTAAGGATTGTATCATAGAGGTTCTTGAACTTGCGTAAGCAGGGTTTGCCTTGTGATATGGTTAGAACTCGGGTCCTGGGTCTAGGATTAGGAGGTTCGGGCATTTGAGAGGTCTGCTTTGGGAAGACTTAGCTTAAGACTTCGGGATTTGAGGTTCCCAGAGACTCCAATACCCCTTAATTAAGGAATATACCTTAAACAATATTAGGGACCCTACTATAATTTAAGGTATATTCCTTAATTAAGGGGTATTGGAGTCTCTGGGTTCAGGGCAGGCTTGATTCACTGCGCTTGGGGGCATAGGTTTACCTTAGGTTAGCATGGAGGGCTTCGGAGAATTAAGGTGTCGGCTCGGGCTTGCCGATCTTTACGGGTTTTCGGGAGACTTAGGGGTTTACGTGCGGGCTGAACTGCGGATGGGGTTATGCTTTTGTGCTCTACTGGTAGAGGGGTTGGGGCTTGGGGCTTTAGAGGTTTAGCCGAGGTTCGGGATGTCGGGCTTAGGGTGAGGATAATAGTTTAGCCGGATCGCTGACCTTCAACATCACACCCAACCAGTCGAAAGAGTCACAAAACTCGCAGCCTCAAACCGCAAGCTCCACACCCTACATCCGAAATCCTGGATGCGCTTTATGGGTCCTTCCTGAATCAGTCCGTGCGACACAAGCTCCCGACCCAAACCCCGTCAAGCGCGCCCTATGTAGCCGTGCGCTTTACGGATCCTTCTGCAAGAACAATGAGGGTTTACGATGCCGATGCCTGTCGCGTGCCAAACACCCGACGCGGCACGCGCCCAGCAAGTTTTTCCGTTCGGTTTACGGGTTGGAGCAGTTCATGATGTAGTTCATGTCTATATCCCCTGGCCAAGGTTCTGCCGCCACTACGTAAAGATTCCACCGGGCGACGGGGATTCCAGGATCGACTGCCGCAACGGCATGTACGCCTGGAACTGCTGGAGGCGGCAGCTTGAGTACTTTGGTGGCATCTAGGCGTGCATGCGCAGCCTCCTCGACGGAGCGTGGCACCGGCGCCGGCTCCGTCACAGACCGGGAGCCACTCACACGTGAGGAGGTTTGCCAGAAGTGGCTGCTCAACTTGCTGCCAGTGGGAGGGTCAATGACCCGCAAGGAAATCAGGGAGAAGCTGAAGAACAAGCTCGGCAGTTTGATGGTGCGAGAAAAGAGGAAACTTGGTGTTCCTCTGGTTGGCTCTTAGGATCTTACTTTTCTGGGTCTCTATATAAACCATGATAAGTGTTCCAAAAGTTTAACTTTTAAGAGGGTTCAGAAGTCAGCCAAGGAAGCACGCGCCAGGAAATGAGAAAAGAGGGTTTTGAGGTATACGATATTGCTCCGATATTTGGGAGCCGTGGGGAGCAGTGTTGCAAAGTATTCTGACCCCTGCGTCTATCCGTCGCCTCTTTACTTCACAAACTCTCACAACCCAGCTGTTTACAACTTTTGCCTTTGTCAAACCTTAAACCCTAAAACCCTAAAACCCCCAAACCCTAAACCCTAAAACCCTAAACTCTGAAACCCTAAACCCTAACCCTAAAACCCTAAAACCCCTAAACCCTAAAACCCTAGAACCCTAAACCCTAAAACCCTAAACCCTAAAACCTTAAACCTTAAAACCCTAAACCCCAAACCCTAAACCCTAAAGGCCCTAAACCTCTAAGAGGTCGGTCGGATCGCTTGGGCCTTTCTCAGGATTCCGATTCTGAACTTCGGCTTCCCAAAACCCTAAGCCCTAAGCCCTAAAGCTTAGACCCTATAAACCCTAAACCCTAAACCTTCATTCTGAACCCCTCCCCAACCATCCGCTGCCACCATGCAGGACGAATTCTTCGTGCTGGTCCGCGACGAGTCTCTCTTGACTCTTGGCCAAACCCTACACCTAAACTTACATAAACCTTGATCCCTAAACCCCTTGGGGCCTGGTGAACTGCTCTGGGTGGTGCTATCTCCTCGGGGGGCGTGGGTTACCTGCTTCTGAATTACCTGTACGTTCTGAATTGGGTGTACGTTTCTAATTGGGAGAGCTGCAGCAAGTGAACAAGAGTCACGTCCGTCCGCCTGCAACAAACACCCTAAATCCTAAACCTAAACTTTAAACCCTAAACCCCTCATGAGCCCACCCTAAACCCTAAAACCCTTTTTTCTCACCATGCTTGCCGAGGATGGGGGTCCTCGACGGCCATGGTACGGATGGCCACGCTGTGGCGCACTTCGCCCAGGCTCAGACGGGCCGTAGGGTAAGGGGGGGGGCTTAGGGTTCGGGGTTTAGGGGTTCAGGGTTCAGAGTTTAGGATTTAGGAGGTTAAGGTTCAGGGTTTACGGGTTAAGGTGTTTAGGTTTCGGTGGGATTTTGGTCCGTCTGGGCGTCCTTATCCCTGGTACAAGTACCTGATGAGCAAGAAGGTCGACTACTTGAACGGGTGAGGCTGAATGTTGATATCGAAATCTGCAAATACATCAGCAGGATGAAAGTTTTGTCGCACTAAGATGTCTTTGCTTGGCGGAGGACTCGGAGTACGAAGAAGTGCATTTTACGTGGCCTGGCTAGCGGAGGAATTTCCATGCCAAAATGAACATACACTGTTTTTTTTGTTCCGACGGAGGAATTAGTGAGGTCCGGGCCTGACATTGCGCCTTCGTGAAGGAGTCTATGGGGGAAAGGGTTTTGCAAGTATGTGTTAGCAGACCTACCGGATGCTACGAACTTTCGTCCTGGCGCAGTAGATTCTGATCTGTCTCGGTACAAGAAGACACGGCTTTAAAGACCCCTCAAAGGAACCAGCACAGATCCCCTTGAAGCAACCCTTATAAATCGCCAAGATTCGCCAAGGAAGCCTAACGGAGCCCGTATCAGATCCTCTTATCGGAAATCGCTCCTGCACGGAAGGAGCACCTTCCTGGCAACATCATGGCAAATCTCCGCCAGCACGGGACTCCGGGGCTAAACAGGGATCGAACTGATCAGTCATTGTCCGGGGCTTAGGTCTATAGTCCCGAATAGATTCTTGGCGTTCTTCTGGCTCTTAGGACTTTAACTTTCTGTGTTTCTATATGAACTATAGTAAGGCGGCTAAAAGTTTAACTTTTAGGAGGGGTTCAGAAGCCAGCTAAGCCAAACATCCGGTTGGAAGAATGCCCCACACTCAAGCTTTAGGCCCTAACGGGTCAGGGGTGCCAAGAACGGAGAGCGCTTGAAGACACTAGGTTCATAAGCAGGATGCACCTCGGCTGACTTTGCACAGCCGAATCTGCAAGGGCAAGGATGTGCTGCTTGTTGTCCAGAATGCAGTCAAAGCTTATGTCATTTTTCTTGCATCCCGAGCTACGAGTCATGAGTCATGAGGCTAAGCTTTGCTATCGTTCTTGTTTGCCATACCACGTTGTTAGGTTGTTGTTGTTGGTGGTGGTGGTCGTGGTCGTCGTTGCAGCAGTAGTAGCGATCAGCGGCAGCAGCAGCAGCAGTTGCAGTTGCAGTGGCAGTCGCGGTGGAGGAGTAGTAGGACGAGTAGAAATAGTAGTAGGAGAGGCGGAGCAGCAGCCGCCTCATCAGCATCATCATAGGTAGAATCATTGTGCTAACATTCAGCAGCTCTAGCAGCAGCAGCAGCATCAGCAGCCACTAGTAGTTACTACTAATATACTAGATAATGTCTGATAAAAAATTCAGTGCACTAGCTGCCACGCTATAGCTAGCACCTCCACCAGTACCTCCCCTTCTTACAGTGACCTGCCCCACACAAGCCCTGGAGGAGTAGTTGGGAGAAGAGCGTTCGTGACGCTGCTGCATGTCTGCAAAATCCTAAGCACTAATTCTGTCAGCATGTCTTGTGGATCTCGAAACATTATCCTCCGTAGCCACGAGCTTATAACCTACCATTTTGAAGTTTGGGGGGTTAAGATAAATGCATAAACCTAACTTACACCCCAAACCCTAAGTCTTGCCTAGACTCTTAGACCCCAAACGTGGAACCACAAGCTGGTCGGGTACTTTCAGCCTGTCGGGGCTGTGGAGCCAGCTCAGTTGTGGGTAGGGTTTAGGGTATACCTTAACCTACCAAAGAATACTTTTTTGTAGGTTCAAGAAGTCAGGATTTGAAAGTTTAGGGGTTTATAAATTAGGGTTTAGAAATTTTGGCGCTGAGGTGCAGGACTCAAGAGTTTAGGGCTTGTGCGGCAATTCGCACGGGTTCCGAACCTTCAACCCTAAACCCTAAACCCGAAACCGCGGTCATTGGTTTCGATTGTAGTGTTCAGGGCCCGAGAGTCAGGCTTCTGCGGCTTAGGGTTCAGCTCAGATTTACTACCCGGAGACTCCAATATCCCTTAGTTAAGGAATATACCCTAAATCATAGTAGGATCTCTAATATGATTTAAGAAATATTCCTTGATTAAACCGGCCTTCAGTTTTAAGATTGGCCGCTTCATGATAAAAATTGGCATAAGGCTGACATTACGGTTTTCAGGATGCAGAAGGTACGACTACTTTATCAGATCCTCCAATTTGGCTGTAGCCCCAAACCCTAGACCATCGGGAGGGCACTCAGAGTTCATGCCCAAGCCCTGGATACCCTAAGCCCTGAACACCCCTGGCCCTAAACCCCATATACCGCAAGCCTTCAACCCTAACCTCCAAACCCTCAACCCCAAAACCCTAAACCCCAAACCCTCAACCCCAAACCCTCAACCCCAAACCCGAAACCCCAAACCCGAAACCCCAAACCCGAAACCACATGCCCTCAACCCGAAACCCCAAACCCAAAACCCCATACCCTAAAGCACCTAAACCCTAAACCCCATACACCCTCAGCCCTAAACCCTAAACCCGAAACCCCAAACCCTAAACCCGAAACCCCATACCCTAAACCCTAAACCCCTACAACCTCAGCCCTAAGCTTGACATGGGTCAGGTATTAGTTCTTAGCCGCCAGCTTCAGAATCTTCTTGTCGCGGCTCCGGGGTTGTTGCTTCGGGTTGAGGGCTCAGAGGTAAGGGTTGCAGGGGTTATGGTTTAGGGTTTTTGGGTTTAGGTGCTTGAGGGTTGAGGGTTTAGAGTTTGGGTTTAGGGTTTAGGATTGAGCGCGTAGGGTTTACCGAGAGGCCCCAAAGTAGTTCCTTTTTGGGATTACCTTATAGGATTCTATATATCAACCCCCAAAAGGAACTACTTTGGAGCCTCTAGGTAATGATTAAAGTTAGGGTCGAGGATTATGTGGGAGTTTCCGAAAGTTAGGGGTACCTTTTTTAGGGGTCCTTATGATAAGGATCCTACTATTTAGGGTACTATATTTGGGTCCCCTATTTTCGGAAACCCCCATGTGTTGGAGTTGAGCCTTCATCCGAGCTTGCAACCCGGGGTCCCAAATCCGCAAGGGACGTCCGAGACCCCCACCACCACCAACCCGAAGTTTAGGGTTTCGGGTTTAGGGTTTAGGGTTGAGGGTTTAGGGTTTAGGGTTTAGGATTTAGGGTTTAGGGTTTAGGGTTTAGGGCTTAGGGTTTAGGGTGTAGGGTTTAGGGTTTAGGGTTTAGGGTGCCTAAACCCCTAAAGTAGAAGCCCGAAAGTTGGAACATCATTTTCCTGGTACCCTTAAGATAAAATATAAGGAATCCTAGCGCTAATCATCCTAAATCCATGTTCCAACTTTCTGGGGTTCGCTGTAAACCCTAAACCTTGGATACTGCCCCCACTCAGGAACAGATTGGATAATATTCATAATATAGATATTTTAGGCCCTTAATCCTAGACCTTTTTGTGACTGTTACTGTATGGGGGCAGTATCCAGCCTAAACCCTAAACCGTGCAAACCGCGTTAGGTTGACACGCTCTGCAAAGAATCGGAGCAAGACGAGGAGATGAAGCAGAAGGACAGGGCGTCAAGACTTTAGGGCGTGGACTTCGGAGTTGAGGGTCTAAGGTCTTATATGGGCTTTAGGGTGCGGGCATCGGAGTTGAGGGTTTAAGGCTAAGGTCTTAGGCCAAGCTCGTTTTCGGGCTTACAGTCCGCAGTGGAAAGCTGGAACATGGAGTCAGTTTGAGTTGTTACAGTTTCTCCTTTACTTAACAGTACGGTGGATGATATAAATCCTGAATTACCTTAAGGACCCTAAACTATGGGAATAATGGTATATTCCTCATTATGGGTAATGCAGGATTTAGATCATCAACAGTAGTACGGGCCCACTCCTAAGGGATGATAGCGCTGCAAGGGTTCTACTCCAGGGTGTTAAGGTCCAACAGACTAGCCCTGTATCTGAAACGCCTTAGCCTGACTTTAGCAAGCCCTTGTCTCCTGGTCGACTTCTAGATATGGGTTTAGGGTTTAGGGTTTAGGGATCCCATTATCTTGGCATTTAAGCCTACACTGTGATAGTCGTGATCTTACATCAGACCGCTTAAAGTTTACATTCATTCGTGCTTCGGCTTGTTGTTTACTCTTTGGAGGCCGGCTTTGTGGGCTCGACTTATGTGCCGGCACTAAGAAGCACGGAGGTCGGAAGAATTAATCGAAATAGTCATAGTCTACCATTTCTTTCAACATAAAAGATAGCATAAAACCCTATCATCTCATCTATTGAGGCCTCCTTGAAGCTGCTTCTCAGGTCTTTAGGCTGCAACCCAATGTCCCGGCCGCAAACCTCACCAACGGCTTAGGGCTTGGGTCTTAGGATTCACGAGGGTTCAAGACAGAGTGGATTTCTTCATCGAGCCTGCTGTTATCCACTGTCGGTGTCAGGAATCGGAAGAAGGCGTCAAAGTGCTTGGGATTTGTTGCTTCCCTTCACAACTTGCCTCGAAAATTGAGGGTTTCGGTGCAAGGACATGGGGGTTTCCGAAAATCGGGGACCCTAATATAGTACCCCAAATAGTAGGATCCTTATTATAAGGACCCCTTAATAAGGTACCCCTATTTTCGGAAACTCCCACATAGGGTTCGGCCCAATGGGTCGAAGTTCCGATTCCGGGAATGGGGAGCCCTGAACCCTAAACCCCAAACCGCGAGGCCACAGAACCCTAAATCCTAAACCCCTAAATCCCTAAACCCTAAACCCTAAACCCTAACCCTAAATCCCTAAACCCTAAACAAATGGCTACGGCTCAAGCTTCTTTAAAGTTCTCCCCCCCGAGTGCCCTTCGTCATCACACTTCAATCCGCCCTCTTTGGATTGGGCTTCCTGTGCTTGGGCGCCGGGTTTCCAGTCTGACCTCCTCCTGGGTGACTTCGACGGTTTAGCGGCCGGGGCGACGTGGTGATCTGGCGGCCAGAGCTTCCTCCTGCGGGGCGTCTTTGAATCTGTGGTCTGGGTTCTCCTACTCCTTTCAGCTTCGTCGTCCTCTTTGTCATCTTACTCTACATCTTCTTCGCCGGTGATGGCTGCTGAAGTGGGCGAGCATGAGGGGGATATGGCAGTGGACGTTGGCTCGCCGACTGAGATTGCCGAAGGGTCCGACGCTGAGATTGAGATCAAGACTGAGAAGAGGAAGCGATCGGGACGTGCTCGTCGCCCCAGGGACCCCTCCATGGTGAAGGTGCCTGACGATACTGAGGACGAGGATGACGTCGAGAGCCCATCTAAGCGAGCCCTGGTCGTGGGTGAAGAGTCAGATGATCGTACCCTTACTGCTGGGCTCCTTCGTGCACTTCTCGCCGATCACCGTCGGGACATGCAGAAGGCGTGGGGTGATGTTGAAGGACGTCTTCTTAAAGTTGAAGGACAACAGCGAAACCAGACTGGTGAGCTTGCATCCCTCAATGGCCGCCTCAAGATCAACGAGAAGGACGTCGCTAACATCAAGAGGAACCAGTCTGCTGGTGAGAAGCGAGTCGACAAGCTTGCAGAGGACGTGGCGAATCTCAAGGTCCAGCTCGATGCGGTGAATTCCAAAGTACATGAGAGGCCTGCTGGCTCCAGGGGTGCTGATGTTGATGATGGTGGTGGAGCAGATCCCTGGAGTGACTATCTCAGACACAATCGGCTCCCCGGCCCACCGCCCAAGATTTCTGGTGCTTCTAAGGTTCCTGGTTCGGCTCACAACAGCTCTGGGGTGAATGGGGGTGACTTCGGTGATCATCTGTCCGAGGACGATAAGCGTACTCTCGTCATCGGCGGCTGGGCACAGGATACTAGAAGGGCGACGATTGAAGAGGAGTCCGTGGTGCTGCTGCAACACGCTGAGATACGGCCTCTTATTGATGTTGAGAAGCTGGCGATCTTTGGCCCGCGCAGAAGCGTGGGGATGCTCAAATTTACGCCTCGCGAGGGCGAACTTCACCCTGAGGACCTGCGCAACAGGATGTGGAAGGTTGTCAAGAAGATTGCAGAGCTTAAGATCGCTGTTCCCAGTGCAAAGAGCTTGGGTGAGAACAAGACCATGTGGGCGGCATTCATCAAGACCAAGACGGCCAGGGCGAGATCTGCACATATCAGCATGGTGCGCCGAGTGACTATGGGATTGGCTGCTGATTCCAAAGATGAGGCTGGGGGTGTACTCAACTATGACCACACCCTTCCTGCCGCTTATGACATGGACTGGAATGCGGGGACCATTTGGTCCGGAATCCACAAACTAGCCTCGGCCACTCATCGCTGCCCAAAAGACGCTGAGACAGTGACCATGAGTGGCGGCTGGATCAACCTGGACGCTGTTGGTCTGATAGCGGGGTGCAGTGCGGAGGTCGCCAAGGCGACCTTTGAACGTGAACTGTGAAGCGAGGGTCCTCCTTTCACCCCTCCGGTTGCTGGAGGGACTGTTGATTCTGGGGCGAACTTTGTCCTGGGATTGCATGATGGCTCTCAGTCTAAGACTCGGAGCTCCTTCTCCTCTACCAGGTGTGCAAGACATCGATGGGGGAAAATTGGGCAGTGGAATTTGGGAGGGCAAAAATTTGATCTCCTGGATGTAGCTGCCCGCGACCTTGAAATCATTTTCGTGCAGGAGTCCGCTCGGGGCGACACTGGGTGGGACAATGTCAATACGGATCTTTTTCATTGGGTTTCACATCGTGGGGCGAATCTCTATCGTGGTGTCGCAATTGGGATTGCTCAGGACAAGCTCGACTGTGTCATCCATAAAGTTGCGAGCAGCAGAGGCATTTGGATTCTGGCACGACTCAAGGGATTAGGCAGAGTGGTCCTTGGAACCATGCATTGTCATACTGGTGCCACCAATGCCATTTACCAAGCTGCTGTTCATGCCTTCGTCAACTCGTGTCCGCGCAAGTGGCGTCACTACCCGGCTGCCTGTGGTCTGGATATCAATGAAGAGCTGAAATGGTCAGAGGAACCTGATTCCTCTGGTGGTTGCCTCATCAGTGGCTCCAGCAACCTCAATGAGCTTGCACACCAGATGCTTCAGCTTGGTTTTCGGCCTGCTGCACCTTTGCAAGAGCATTGGGACACGCCCACGCATTATCCACGGGATGAATCCCGACGAGGACGGCAGATTGATGCCATCCTGACCAGACGACTTCACTTAGACCCGGTCGACATCGACGCCCCTCGAAGACATGTGGTTGGTTCGGATCATGCCCTTGTTCATACGGCAGTTTTCACTGAAAAGAAGAGTGGGGGGCATTGGGGAAATGACTCCAGGCCTCGCTTTGTCTGCCAGGACATTCCCTCAGTCGTCATCTGCGATGCTGAGGATCTTTCCCAACTGGCACGTCGCTGTACTCGACCTCGTCAAACTCAGGCCTATCACGACTCTGATGAAATCAAAGAGCTCCTTGTTGAAGCCAAGCATGGCAATGATAAGAAGCTCTGGAAGAGAATACATCGCCTACGACGTCGTGCACGGCGAGACTGGGAAGAGAAACGCCTCAGTCAAGTTCTGCATGGTGACTGGCTGCAGTACAGATCGCTTCAACGTGATCGCAAGCGCAAGGTCGGTTGGTGGGGGCGAATGCTACAAGATCGCACCTCACAGGAAAACACTGCCCTTGTCAAGTCACACCTCTGCAGCAAATTTGTCAATGAGTTTGGGCATGACTGGGACGAGCTCTTGCAGGCTCAGATCAACACCGTGCACCCGTCGGATGAGTTCCTCTCCTACAGCCCGGTTTTCCTCAGACCCTCGGCGACTTGGAATTCCTACTGCCAGGAGTGGGGAGTCACACTGTCGCCAGCTTTCGTCGCCGTGCCTGGAGGTCAGCTGTGGGGCGAGTGTTTAATGATGCCGGCCAGGATGTACCACAAGGCGCCTGGCCCCCTGAAGATGATGATCACCTCTTTCTTGTTCAGGCAAATGAGACAGTTCCGGTCACAAACTGGCCGGCTGATGTGGATCGACCTGCACATCCTGTTCGCTGCACTCGTCGCCGCGCCGCCCTTCTTGCTCTTGGAGTACGTCGTCGTCAGCATCGTCCTCGTCCACGTCCACGGTGGGTTCCGAGTGGTGACTCTACCTTGGTGGCACATCTAGAAGCAGCTGGACAACGAGTACGACGTGAGAGACTGAATCGGCGTAGGCGTAGTTTGTCAGGGCCAGCTCAGCGAGAGCGAAGCCGTAGTCGTGACGCATAGTCTGAGGTGCGATCATCTTTGTCCGTTGGACTTTTCCTGCTTGAGGTCGGTGCAGCTGTAAGTGCTTTGCACTGTCCATTTGTGTAAGCCCCTTGTGAGGCAGGCAATTTCTTTTGAGTTCGCTCATGCACAGAAAAGGCCACTACACCTTAAAAAAAAAAAAAAACCCTAACCCTAAACACTAAACCCTAATCCCCTAACCCTAATCCCTAAACCCTAAACCCCTAACCCTAAACCCTTGAGGCCACATACTCGGGCACGACCATGACAGTCCTTATGTTGGACAGCCCAAGCCTCAGAGGCTGAGCCAGGGTGCAAGTAGAAGGTCATAATTACTGCCTAATAGTAGAGTAGCTAGCCTTGAACCTTTTTTGGGTAGTGTAGTCCCTATATAACTCCTATATAACCAAAAAGGTTAATCTTTGGTTCCCCATGGTACCCAACAAGTAGGTACTAAAGATATTATTAAGACGACGTAGTATCAAGCCTAAGACTGAGACTTAAACTAGGACCTGCAACTTCGACTCATACGAATACTAATACCGTACGAATTCTGTACTAGACCATACTATACTGAAAGATCAAAACATTTTACATTATACTACGCTATATAATGTACTACATGCTGGTGTGCGCTGCTATAGTCTAACACATTGTAGCACTGCAGAGGCTAGGGGGTTTGGAGCTTATGTTTGTCGCCGTCATGAACTGGCCCGTCAGTACGCCCGTGGCAGTTGAAGTCCGACCCAGTACACATTAAAAGAACACGAAACCAATCCGTAACAAACTCGGTACAAAGATCCTCCAAAGAAACCCTAAACCCTAAACCCTAACCTAAACCCCTGAACTCAAAGCCCCAGAGCCTAAGCCTCAACCCTGAACCCGAAGCTCATGCCCCAAGATCCTCCAAGTAACCCTAAACCCGCGAACCCTACACCTTAGACCCTAGCCCTAAACCCTAAACCCTTATAGACCCTAAATCCTAAACCCTAAGCCCTGATAGACCCTAACCTCAGCCTATAAAATCCCTGAACCCGACTGCACTTAACAAAAAACGAATCTCAGGCCCTCGGCCCTCCGAATGGCGCGTGCGCAGCGCCCACCTGGGAGACTCCATCGCGGTGGCTTCGGCTGCAAACCCTCAGGGTCCTTCAGGGTCCTTCGGTTGATGATACAAATCCTGCACTACCCCTAGCAAGGAATGTACCATGATTCCCATAGTTTAGGGTCCTTAGGGTAATGCAGGATTTATATCATCCACCGTTTCGAAGGGTACCCAAAAGGTCCATGTACCTATATAGGTTTCCTTCTTAAAGGGCGCTTTTAAGGGTTCCTGCAAGGGTCCCTTTTAAAGGGTACTTGGAGGTTCATGGTGAGTTATAAGTGGGGTTGTAAGTAGGATAACTGTAGTTATCAGCCATATAAGGGGATTTATAACTTCAGTTGTAGCTATCCATGAACCTCCAAGTACCCTGAAGGACAATATGCTCATGTAGGTTTCATTTCAGGGTTCCTGTAAGGGTTCCATAAGGGTGTGAGGGGGTTTAGGGTCCAAGGGTCCATGTACTTTGAGGGTGCTACAAGGTTGCTACTACAATATGGGTACTATAAAGGCAACAATCATATGAGTAGCCTTTTCAGGGGCTACAAGTAGGTAACTTCCTGGCTATTAACCCCAGCTAAGTTCTCCGATGCTTTGGAGAGGGTTCAGGGCCCGGGCTCCAGTGCCTTAGGCTCTAAACCTAGGATGCCCAGTAGTACCCTTATTCCCTTTTTGTAGCCCTAGGTTCCTTATAAAGTTACCCAACACCAAAAAGAGAGGCCTTTTTATTCTTAGGTTACTGGGTATCCTAGTTGGGCTTTAGGGCTTAGGGGTTCCCTAAACCCTAAACCCTAAACCCTAAACCCTAAGCCAGGCCTTCTTAAGGGCACGGGTGCACTCCTGGCCCCCGGAGCGTGGAGAAGACTGGGCCCCTTACTTGGAGGTTCATGGGTCGTTGTAAGTGGGGTGACGGTTATGACTAGGGTTATTCTATGGGTTCTATAGGGTCGTTGTAAGTGGGGTTACAATTATAACTAGGGTTTCTTTATGGGTACTATAGGGTTGAAGGTTCAGGGTTTAGGGAAGTCATAAGTGGGGTTTTAAGTCCCCTAATGTGGGTTGCAACTTGGTTCTCATACTATTTAACCTCACTTATAACTCACCATGAACATCCAAGTAGAGCGGCAGCACTCTTAGTTGTGGAGAATGCATCTTAAAATGATCGTAGGAAACCCACCGTAGCACATGCTATGGAGCCCGAAACCCCATGACCCTAACCCCTTGATTTCGGGGTAGTGGGCTCTTCGTGCCCCCATCGCGCTCTACTCCTTCCTCCCCGCAGGTCATCGCAAGGCGCCCAAGTAGAGGTGTGCCTTGGGAGGCATCGTGCGCCATGTCGTGTGCACCGTAGGTTCATGTAATACTATGGCTAGTTAAGAGATTACAGGCTACGCTGTGGAGTAGCGATGTTTGCTGAGCTCCATGCTACCTTGCTTCGGAAATACATCAGCAACTTCCTAACTTCGAAGATCGGCTTTGCTGTGCTCGTGGTCTTTCAGTGAAGTAGGTTGATACCCCTAAACCCTAAACCCTTTATAGAATCCTTATAGATCCCTTTAAGGAGCTCTATATAAAGGTCCCCATTAAGGGTCCCTGCTTCGAAGTGGGATTTTTGGGCTTAGGGACCCTGGCTTGATCCCCCAAACAGTGCAAGCTCTGAAGCTTAAACCTTGACCTAAACCAAAAACCACCCTAAGCCCTACCAAAAAAACTGTACCCTAAATCACCCTAACGCCTAAAACCGAAGCCATCCGGCATGTTGTGATTTGGAATTGTGTTCGCGTCCAAGCTTGCGGCCTCTGAGCTTGAAGACGTAAAGCAGAAAATCCCCATACCCGAATCCAAACCCAAAGAACGTTTAGGGTTTGGGGTACTCTCAAAACCCTAACGCCCTCACTCTGAGACAGTAGAAGCCCACATACTGAACAAGGGCTGGTTCAGACTCGAGAGTTTGTTAGTCTAGGGTGGTTCGCAAGTTCAGACTGCTGCGGTTTAGGGTTTAGAGTGCCCTGAACCCTAAACCCTTCGGTTGCAGGACCCTAAGCCCTAAACCCTAAACCCCTACGATGAATGTAAACCCTTGATGAATGAACCCCCTTCCCTTTCGGGATGGAGGTAGGGATCTTTATGTTCGGCCCTGCAGGACATGTGGCTTGTTACCCAGACCCCCGGGAGGATCGAGACAGTAGGTCCCCTAACTTGGGGCCCTATGCTACTAAGGGCGCTTTACAGGAACCCCCACTAAGGGATCTGCTTTTTGGATCCTCCTGGTGGTTTGGGTACCCAGAGACTCCAAAACCCCTTAATTAAGGAATATACCTTAAATCATATAAGGGATCCTATTATAATTTAAGGTATATTCCTTAATTAAGGGGTTTTGGAGGCTCTGGGTATAATCAGGTCTTCAGGACCTTGCATGACAGAGCCTGGAGACATAAGCTGACGAATCGCGAGAAACGCGTTTTGGGTTTGCTATAGGGGCCTCAATAAATGCCAATAATACTATTTCGGGGGCTCCTTGTTATTGCTATAAGTACAAGGGGCCCCAAGACCCTATTCTAACTGTTAAGGCCCCTATACTAACAGAAACCCCCATAGCACCCCTTATGGTAATCCTTCGAGACCCCTTTAAAGGACCCCTTTAAGGAGCCCTATTCTAGCTATTACCCAGAGGCCCCAAAGTAGTTCCTTTTTGGGATTCCCTTATAGGATTCTAACCCCAAAAAGGAACTACTTTGGGGTCTTTGGGTAAGGCCCCTTACGGTTTGGTGAAGCCCTGGCAGGTTACCCAGCTGACGAACATCCACCGGCCAGACCGGGAGGTCGGCAGCATTCCAAGCCCTTAACCTTAACCCTACTTGGAGGATCATGGGACTTAGTAGGTAAGGTTATTACTAGTGTAACTATACTTATAACTGCTTGTAACCCCGACTAAGGTACTTACAGCCTGACTTCCTAAGTCCCATGATCCTCCAAGTATGCCTCCAGGGACCTTATTGTGGGGTCCCCAAGGGGTCTAGGGCCCTAACTATGAGGTGTTTGGAGGGATAGGGTAAGTCCGAGTCCTAAACTGTAAGAGGTTTTTTATTTTAGGATTCAGTGCTGAATTCTTCCTTAAGGGTGCATACGAATGAAGATGGGGATCTACATAAATACTAATATGATTCTCTAGTGAACATCTACTGCCTCAAACCCTAGTCATTAAAGCAGTACATCAGGCTTAGTTCTCAAGACCACAGATGAGTGTTCTCTTTGGATTTCGGCACCTTGAGGTTTCCTTGAGGTTTTGGGTCTAGGGTTTGCATATCGCTCAAGGCCTTGTTCTACTCATGGAGGCCTTCGTATCAATCTTTCGAGACCACATGAGACCACGCAAGTATGCCTCACCAGTATAACAATCAAGAAGTACATGAATAATGAATACGTATACAATATATCTATCTATACATGTATATGTCCATGTATATGTCGTACATGTACATGTACATATACATACTGAAAGTTTTAATTCTGTTGCTCCAGGTCCAGAGTCTAGATAAACCTTTTTCGCCTTGCCAGTAGCATCTTGCTTAACGCTCGGGGATGTAGGATTCAGGGTGCAGCTGTAGTGCGAACCCCATACCTTTCGATTCGAAACTGCAAGGAACACCGGCATGCCGGACTGGTCACTAATCATCCGATTGGTCTTGTTCAGGGTTTGGGGTTTGCGGCACAGAAGACAGCGTGCAGGGTAGTTGAGGGCTGAGGGTGTGGATTTGGCCTAGGGACCTAGGGTTCGTCCGTTTCGGTCGGGTGGTTGGCTTGGGAGTCGAGAAAGCACGGGGGGCATGGTTATCCGGACACTTCGTCAGCCTTGCGTGGACGAGCATATGCAGCATATGCCACCTGCGACTAGAAAACCTCCAGCACCCAGCTAAATGCATTCAGGTAAGGGGCTAGCAGAGCCAGGACATTCGTTGCTTTCCACGAGTGCCAGACGTTTAGGAGCCCGGTTGACGGCCTCGAGAGCCTACAAAGCACTGGCCCCCCCCCCGCCCACCTCGACCTCCCCCCTAACGTCTTAATGATGTCTCTTTCGCTGCAGCTTTCATCAGACGGTATTGAACTCTCTGGGTTTAGATTATGCGCTTACCCTGAATATCACGGAATGACAGCGTACCCCATAATTCGAAGGTCGGGACCCGATGCCGAAGAATCACTCAACATCCTGTCCGACAAACACTTGCCCTCAACACTATTTGATTCGGCCAGTTCTAAACTCTCACCTGCAGCTGCGTTCTATAAGCCCAAAAAGATAAACTCGCAACCAATCCTACAAATCCTCGGTCCTAAGCCGCAGAATCACCTGGAACACCCTCATTGTTAACCCAAGACTGACTGTGAGCCAAAAGTTCCTTAAACGCCAAATCAAAGAAGAACTCCCTGAACCCACTCCGAGATCCTAAATCCCCCAAACCCCTCCCGCCACCCTTATAGTACCCTTAAAAGGACCCTTAGATTAAATAAGAAGCCCTCAAAGAAACTCCGTTAAATAAACCCTTTCACCAACAGCAACTCTTGTTTGGCAGGATGAGACTGCTCGAATCGAAAAGGCAGGCGGCACCGTCAATTCCTTGGCATTTGGGGCGTCTTATGAGAGTTCTAGACGAGTTACTTTAAGGGCTCCATAAATCTTTGTGGTAGTTTTTAAATGTAACATTGTACATGGTTATGGGTACTTAAACCCAACAAGGAATAAACATGCATTTTCTTTGTTACTATCCCAGCCATGAACTAGAAAAGGAATGAGGGGTTTCGGGCCATTGGCTAGTGAGTGACTCAGGAAACATGAGCCCTACGGTTGATGATCAAAATCCTGCATTACCTTACTGACCCTAGACTGTAGGAACCATGGTATACTCCGTACTATGGGGTTATGAGGTAATGCAGGATTTATATCATGAGCCCTAGGAACTTTGAGGGCCCAGGGCTTAGATTCGGGGTTTGATGGACTTCGATAAAACCTTCGAGATACTGCTGATGGACAATATCCTGCATGACCCCAAGGACTCTAAACTATGGGGACTATGGTATATTCCTTATAATGGGTAACGCAGGATTTTGTCCATCAACAATATCCTCTGGGAGGAATACTACTGGTTTTTATGTGGAGCTGGATGTATATGCTCATATTTTTATGGGTCCAACTTCTAACGACTTGATGTAGGACTTGGTTCGAGGGTTTAGTTTTCCCCCTTCGGATAAAAACCTCGTACTCGACCTTAAGCCCATCAACCTCAAACCCCCCCCCCTAGGCGACCATTACCGCTGCTGAGACATTGGTTAAGATGGGAGCACATGGTCCTAGTTGAGGGTCGAAGTGGGCCCCACTACCTATATTAAGAAATCGAAGACTCATTCTCCTAAAACTGTATACGAGCTTTCACGTCTTGTAGGAGCGAGAGCTCAATTCGATGCACCGCAGGAAGAAGTGAAATACAAGGACCTGCATAATTAGAAGGGGGTATTGCGGGATAATCACCATAAACAGATCAGGAACACTGAGGAAATAGCGCCTTGAAGTTATTCAGGCTTCTACATTGGGCCCTGGCCCTAAACCCTAAACCCTAAACCCTAAACCGGGCCTTTCAGCTTTCAGCCCTATGCCCAGGGCAGCTTGGGGTTGCTAAAATCCCTACGCATCCGAAACTTTGGTTTAATTAGCGGTTTAGGGTGTTTAGGGGTTTAGGGTTTAGGGTTTTAGGGTTTTAGGGTTTAGGGGTTTAGGGTTTAGGGTTTAGGGTATAATTAGCGGACATGCTGTTGATCTGGGGGATGTGAGGGCTCGCCCGACCGAGGTTGTTTTGGGTGCAAAGAGCAAGGACCCCGTGCAGAGTCGTTAAGGGTTTAGGGTTTAGGGTTTGGGGTTTAGGGTTTTGGGTTTAGGGTTTAGGGCAGCAAGATGTGGAAGAAGGTAAGAGAGCTCCAGGACTCCAATGGAGCCAAATCAATTGCTTCCGAAGAGAAGCATTTTCTGCCAATGGTGTTTCTACAACGCCAAAGAGCTTCAGAAGAAGAACCAACCGTATTGAAAATGGGCAGCCGATTTGGGAGCTCGCGACGAGCGTGGGTTCCTGTGGTTGAACGGCATGGAAATCCTGGCCCTCACAGCTCCGCGCTTTTTCTCCTGGAGCAGGTTCCGGCGCTGGCACGTGATGCGGAGTTTGCTGAGATCTTCCGAGGCTCGCTGAAGTTTCTTGAATCGTCACCTTTGTTGCGGCCTCGAAAAAGAAGTTGCGGACATGGCGCATGTGATCGAGGTCCCACAGTAGTTAGTCGTACCCGCATGGCCTTATCCCAAAGGCTCCATGTACCAATATAGTAAGAACTTAGGCCTTAAAGGGGCCCCTATATAGGCACTTTAAGGCCTAAGTATCGACTATATGGGTACATGGAGCCTTAGGGTATGCGTTGCGATTTAGGGCTTGGGGGGTGTTGGGCTTCCATTTTGAATTTGGGGGGCCTCCAGACCTTGGTAAAGGAACCTCCGAAACCTTGGGTCTTCCTTTGGGTGTTTTTTTTTATGAGCCCCATTATAGACTGGGGTTATAGCTAAGATGCCCAGTAGTACCCTTATTCCCTTTTTGTAGTCCTAGGTTCCTTATAAAAGTTACCCAACACCAAAAAGAGAGGCCTTTTTATTCTCAGGTTACTGGGTATCCTAGTTATATACTGGGGTTATAGTGCCAGGATTTGTTCAACCAGTTCCTACATTATTAACCAGTACAAGACTGGCTTCGAATGCCTAAGCGCTTGCAAAGGTTCTGAAATTCGAGGGCGAACCTTCGAGATTGGCTGCCGACGAGTGGCCCCTCGTTTGTGAAGATTTGGACTTGGGGTGTGGGAGTTTCGGGGTTTTCGGGTTAGGGCCAAGGTTTTAGAGTTTAAGGCTTGGGGCTTTTGTCGAGTCTACGCCGCCGTCCAGCATTTTGCGTACTGGTTCTTTTGGTTTTGGGTGTATGTCCACAGAAGACGAGACGGCTTGTTGATTGATGCTACTTGTGTAGCGGGCTCCAGCAGCCAGAGCTGCAGCTTCTGTCCAGTGCTAACTGCAGATCCTGTAGTGACTGATTCTGTGACAACGGTTTAGTGCTTTAAGGGATGAGGGTTTAGGTTTGGGATTTAGGGTTTAGGGTTTATAGTTGGGGTGTCTTGACGTTCACCCACAGTGGCAACGGAACCCACTCTATCAGAAGTCAGTTCAGCTTTCAATCACCTAAGATTCTGTGCGGGCAGCTCTTGATATGTTCAGGCATTCAGCAGCAGATACAGCTTTCTGCAAGCATTTCCGAAGATCTGCAGCATTAACGCAAGGCATTCAAGAGGAGAACATCACATAAGTTATCGAATGTCTTAGTAGTCGTTTTTTGCATTGCTCTTCCTACGCCCTAAATTGCACAACTACTTACGTCTTACGTAAAAGAGTCGAACTACATGGAGCAGCCCCAAAATTCTGGATTGTAAAAGGATTTGAATAGGCGATTATGGGGTAAAACAGCGTTCTGTCGGAATTTAACTCATACTGTGGACCCTACGTCCCTGAGCCAAACCCTACATCCAAAAATAACATAGAAGTCATAGAAGCCCTGATATCTAAAAATTCTGGATGCACTTCGATTCCGAATGAGAAAGTCACGGTGGGTAGGCTTCTCCGGTGGATTCTTTCAGGAGCCTGGCAGTGTCGCGGTCCTGGGGCGACTTCCACGCGAACCGGTATGGCCTCTCCCACGAACCCGAGGCGAGGTTTACGTTTGGTTGTAGTGGTTTTGGGGGTCAGTGTTTAAGGATTGGGATTCCTGCCAAAAGTTTTCGGCCTGCCTGATGTACGGGTCCTTACGTTCCCGATCCTACCATAAAAAATTGTCGGGATCCAATTGCACAGGCCATGTGCTAGCAAACAGCTGAGCAGGGTGTCGGAGTGTGGTAACATAAAGGCAGAGGCTAAGGGTTCTTAGGGGTAAGTACACCATAATGTACCCTAAAGCCCTACTAGAATTTCCAAGACCCCACGTTATTTTAACTATGTGCGTTTTAGGTTGAGGGCTTGAGGGTCTAGGCTGTGGGGTCTAGAGTTTTAGGAATTCTAGGATTCGATATTTTCCGGTTTAGGGCTTCGGGCTTTAGGGCTGCCTGGGTCTGTAGGTTTTTTGGCGACCCTGCACCCAACACCCCAATACAGGTGTCGGAACAAGTAGTAATATTATACACTTATAGTTTTATGTATAGGAAATACACCCCCCCTAAAGCCCTAGGCGCTGAGATTCGCTCCAAATCCTGTCTACTCCTGCAAGTCCACTGGAATTCGCCCCTGGACCTGCGACATCTACAGCCTAAGTCTTCAACAGCAAGCCCGACGGGGGGGAACCCCTAACGACTTCCGCATTAAATTGCACAGCTCCCTCAAAACTCCCGCTCCCCGACAAAACCACCGTTCCCGCACTGGCACCTAAACCTTATAAGCCCCTAAACCCTTAAGCCCGAAACCTTAAATGGCAGTTCACCACGAAACACCTGGCGACGGATGGCGAGTGTTTCATCCTCGTGTGCTCGGACGGCGTGTGGGATGCCATATCCTTGGATTTAGGGTTTAGGGCTAGGATGCCCAGGAGCACCCTTACTCCCTTCTTGCAGTCCTAGGTTCCTTATGCAGTTACCCAATACCAAAAACGGAGTCCTTTTTATTCGTAGGTTACTGGGCATCCTGGAGGGGGTTTGGGCCTGATGGTGTTTGATACAAAGTGCTCGGTTTTTGGCAGCTGGCACTACCCTGCATAGTTGCTTGACAAGAGTTCGCATGACACAGCCGTTTGCACTAGGTATGTACAACACTTCTGGTGCTTCGACGGCATCATGTCATTGTGTTTGTCTTGATGCTGGTGGGAGCCACGATTGCGGATGGCGGTGGTGATGAAGCCGACGATTGTGCCGCTAACGATGATGGCGCCGAGTCCGACGGTCACGGATGTGCTCGCGTTGATGGTGATGGCACGGATTTCGGTGATAGTGGTGGTGATGCTTGAGATGGTGGTGTTGATGCTGGGATGCTGGGATGGTGGTAGTGGTGCTGATGTCAACGAGCATTCAGAGGAGGACGACGATCGATACTAGCACTACACTGCCATCACAGTTACAGCGCTACTCCTGAGTCTTGTTCGTGCTGAAGGTTTTGCTGAACCTCCCTAATAGTAGAGTAGGTAACCTTTAACCTTTTTTGGGTAGTATAGTCCCTATATAGCCCCTATATACCCAAAAAGGTTACTCGTGATACCCGACAAGTAGACCTCAGGCCGAAGAGTTGTCGTTCATCACGGTCACTAGCGGAAGTTTTGCTGTGGACTGAGGTGATGCCGCAAATGCAGGCGGTGAACCTCATCGGAAAGTACTCCCCGAGCGAGGCACGATGCATCAGTGCATAAGACGATCGACGGCAGTAAGGGTTTTATAAGGCATACTTGGAGGTTCATGGGTAGTTATGAGTAGGGTTGTAAGGGGGGCAACTATACTTAAAACCCATACTAGGGGACTTATAACCCTACTTATAACTACCCCTGAACCTCCAAGTATCCTTCAATTCCAGTGAGGGTTGCTCTCTATGAAGCCCCGCACGAATTTCAGAAATGTTTCGTTGGTGAGGCCTCCTTAGCTGGGGCACTCGGCACTGAGGTGTGGGCTTTGGGGTTTTAGGGGCTAGTGGCCACGGTAATGCCACGCCACCTCCTGTAGCTTGTTTGTAGAGAACAAGGAGTTTTGTGGTTTGGGTAACCTCTTCTGCACATTCCGAGGCCTAAACTGGGAATCACATCATAACCGACCGAGACTCACATTCACCGGAAAGAACGGCGCCACCGTGTTTTTTGCTTTCCACGGCGCGGCAGATCGCCAGGATCAGAGTCGTCATAACCACATTCATGTAGACCCTGCTTTGCGCCCTACGAACCTCCACAGGCCCAACCCTGGGGCTCCAAATAGCCCAAGGTAGGCACTATGTATAGACTTCAGACCCCAAAATAGGGTTGAATAGGGACCATTTGTATACTTGGAGCCCTAGGGTAAGTCGCAGACTCTAAACTTCAATCCCAGAACACAAACACCCGAACCATAAGAACCCAACCCGCAAGGCTTAAACCCGAAAGCGCGGAACCCCAGACCGTAAATTGCAGCCTGGAGCCTCAAGACCTCAACCCCACACCCTTCAAGCCCGTAACACAGGGGCCGGACACTTGTAGCTTGTGGCTTCATGAAGCTGACGCTATCATTGCTAGTCTTGATTCCATTTTAGGTAAGTTCTGAGAGTGGCCAGAGTGAGTTATAGTACAATGGGCCCCAAAGCCCTGTTCTAATTGTTAAGGCCCCTATATTATGCTTCTCTCTCAGAGAACCAAACCCTAAAACATGAAAACCTGTCAAACCCCACTGAAACCCTAAAACCTTTATCACCCTCAGATCCTAGACTCTACAACCCTACACCCCTCAAACCCGAAGCCCTCAAACAAAACCCCAAACCGGCTAAACACGAAAAAAGACCTTAACTAGCTCATGGTTGGTATAGGGTTAAAAATGTACATGTTTATTCCTCATAGGCAGGGTTTAAGTACCCATAAAAAATGTAGTGCTACCCAACTATGACAAAGTTAACCCTAAGACTAGGTACTGCCCCCCATACAATAATAGTCTATAATACGGCTACTATAAAGGTCCGAATATGTCTATACTATGAATACTATTCAGCTATTACAACCCTTAAACCCTACACCCCTAAATCCGAACCCCCAAACCCACAAACCCCTAAACCCCTAAGTCCGAACCCCTAAACCCCTAAACCCTTAAACCCTAAACCCCTAAATCCGAACCCCCAAACCCCTAAACCCTTAAACCCTAAACCCCTAAATCCGAACCCCCAAACCCCTAAACCCTTAAACCCTAAACCCCCAAATCCGAACCCCCAAACCCCTATATAAGCCCCTAAATAAACCCTTAAACCCTAAACCCCTAGATCCGAACCCCCAAACCCCTAAACCCCTAAACCCCTACTTGGAGGGTCAGGGGACTTAGTAAGTAGGTAGTAAGTAGACTTATAAGTACCCTAAAAAGGGACCCTAATTGAAATTATGGTACTTATAAGTCCCTAAAATAACCAGTTACTAAGTCCCCCGACCCTCCACCCTAAACCCTAAACCCTAAACCCCTAAAACCCTAAACCCTAAACCCCTAAACCCTAAACCCCTATAGACCCTAAGACCCCGGAGATGCTCTGAGGCTCCTAAAGCTTAAACCCCTCGGCAGGCCCAGACAGCCGTGGAGCTCGGGGCCAAGATCTTGCTTTAGGCTTCCCCTAAGGCTCCTTTAAGGGTTCCTTTAAGGGTTCCTTTAAAGGGTTCTAGCAGGGTTCTATAGGGTTTAGGGTCTAAGGCTCCATGGTTCCCATATAGTAGGTGCTTAGGCCTTAAAGGGGTCCCTATATGGCTACTTTAAGGCCTAAGTACCTGCTATATGGGTACATGGAGCCTTTGGGTTCAGGGCTTAGGCTCCTTTGGTTTAGGGTTCAGGGTGCAGGATTGAGGGTTTGGGTGTTCGGAGGGTTCTTATGCTGTAGGCTTCAGCGCTTAGCCTCTTGGATTTCGGGTTCAGGGTGCAGGATGTAGGGGGTTTGGGGTTTCAGAGGGTTCTTATAGGGAGAGAAGTGATCAGCGTTTGCAAGTAAGGGTTTGCTACAAGGTTTCGGTTCTTGTTGCTTGGTGTCACATGAAAAAGGCTGAGTCCGGCCCGGACAAGGAGGCAACAGCGGGAAAGCGCAGGCAGGCCGAACAGCGAATCATTCCAGAGGGCCTGTCTCTGTCTGTGGTTCCCGGTGACGGGAACTGCTTGTTCGCCGCATTTGCGGTCGGACATGCGCAAGCCACGGGCCGCAGCAGCCCAATCCATCACCTTCAGCTTCGGGCTGAAGTCGTGCAACATTTTCTTAAGCATTCCGAGGCTTATTCCTCCCAGTGGGACCGTGAACTTCCAAGCGGGGAGGCAAGCACAAATTTCGAAGACTACATTGCCGAGGTGGCAAAGCCAAGACTTGGGCCGGAGTCCTCGAACTCCGTGCACTTTCCAGAATGTACAACGTCCGTGGGGCTCATATTGTAGCAAGCTGGGTTCTTGAGGATCTTGAATTGGGCATGCACGTTCTTTGAAGTGGTTCGAGTTCCTGAAGTCACATAGGGTTGGTTCAAGGGTTCAAAAGAGCTCAAAAGGGTTGTTCCACATGATGGTTGTAGGTTTTGAAGGGTACTGTTGAACTATGTTGGGCTCGTTTTGAGGTACCATGACAAGGAACTACACTAGATTTCTAACTGGTCTTTACAGTGGCTACGTTTTTCCGCGATAGTTGTGGAAGTCTTGAAGGTATCGCATTTCTTGAGTGTCTTGGGAATCTCGGAGCATCTGGGCTGGGCTGTGCCCATTGCTCTTTGTCATGGTTGGATAGCACTTTAATTTTTTTGATGGGTACTTTAACTCCATAAGGAATAAGTATGTAAATTTTTAATATTATCCCAACAATGAACCAATGCTCTTGAAACCCAAGGCCAAAGCCGAATAACTGCGCTACTCAGCACTTTGAGGTTGCCATGGCACCCTGTTGAAGTGTCTTAGGGGCCAAAAAAAGTACCAATACTATTTGCGGGGGTTCCTTATTCTAAGTATATAGCGGGCCCCAACGCCCAATTCTAAAAGAAATGAGGCCCCTTGTAGTATCCTAGGGACAGAAGTTTGAAGAAGAAGGCTCGCGCTTACATCATGTGATTAGCCCTCAAGCAAAGGTTGGCATGCTATTCTTGAGAGGGTGCAGACGACTGCTGTTCTTAACTAGGACCCCGGTATAAGCACCTAGTTTATGATGCTCCTTACCTTTGGTTAGTGGGGAATGGAAGAATTGTACCAATAGTAGTTATAATTGTCCCCCATGCCTCCATTCCCTACTAACCAAAGGTAAGGCTCAGGACCAGAAAGAGTTTACAGCAACCTTTCCCCACAAAGAGTTTGTTAGAATGCTGCAGGTTTTTGCGAAGTCGGATCCAGGGCTGTCGGCAGCATATCGCTAGTGAAACCTGCAGCCTAGGCTTCATAGAGATGATGGAGGGGCCTGAATAGTTTCTATGTAAGATCAATCCTTAGCGTTTCTTCTAAGAGCAGTATGATATAGCTGATATATACCTCAAGTCTATGCTCAGTGTTCAGTCGTTCTACTGTGGCTAGGCTTTGGCTTCGGGGTCCTACAGGTGTCAGGGTTGGGCGGAACCACTTGAAATTACGTGCTGGCCCAGACAACCGGGAGGATCCAAAAGAAGGATCCTTTGATGGGGGTTCCTACAAAGTACCCTTAGTAGTATAGGGCCCCAAATTAGGGGATCTACTTTCCCTTATAGATCCCTAAACCAGGATCGCTTAAAAGGAGCCCTTTAAGGAACCCTACTAAGTCCCATGATCCTCTCGGGGGTCTTGGGGTAGACTCGGCTGGGAGCCCAGGAAGCTCGTCAGCAAGGCGCAGCTGCGCTGGCAAGAGCAAGGTGATGTTGTGGACGCCAGCCGGCTGCACACTAGCAGTGTGGCTTCACTGCTTTATTTAGGGCTTAGAGAGCTCTAGGGCTCCAGTTACCTAAATAGTAGGTCAGTAACCATATATTATAAACCCCAGTAACCTACTATTTGGGTAACTGGAGCCCTGGGGGAAGTTAGATCCCTCGAATAACGTCAATTGTACGGTGCAAAGCTATGAGCCGGTTGCCTAAGATTCCAAGTCACAGCTTCAGCTCCCGGTTGACGCGCATGCCTCTGAAGCAACTCCTCTTATCGATCGTATACCCTGAATGAGCCAAACTGAGATCCACGCAAATGCAAGTCTAGGGGCCCACTCTACCGGGCAGTGTTAAGAAGATGCTGGAACGGTTGATGATATAAATCCTGCATTACCCATAATAAGGAATATACCATAACTCCCATAGTTTGGGGTCCTTAAGGTAATGCAGGATTTATACCATCAACCTGGACCCTAAACCCTAAACCCTCAAACCCTATAGATCCCTTAAAGGAACCCCTTAAAGGTACCCCTTATAGATCCCTTTAAAGGAGCCCTAGGACTTATATCATCCACCGAAGTTCGAGGGTTTGCGGCTCTAAACCCGCAGCCCTGAACTGAAGATCCCAAAACAAGCGCAGGCGCCCAGCCCAGCCCAGCCACGAACAGTCCCAGCCCCCAATAACTACGGTTGATGATATAAATCCTGCATTACCTTAAGGACCCTAAACTATGGGAATTATGGCATATTCCTTACTATGGGTAATGCAGGATTTACATCATCAACCGTAGGACCCAGAGTAGGCCCTTATTCCCTTTTTTGGGGGTTTAGGTTACCTTATAACCCACTTTAAACCAAAAAGGGTGCTCCTAGGTTACCCATAGGTCTAGATAAGCTTCGAAACAGAATCCCTGGTAAAGCATTTGGGTAGTTGTCAAATTTATGGTCCCTTTTTGGGTCCATGTTATAGTACCGGCACCTAATATTTAGGGTACCCAAAAAGGGACCCTAATTTTGACAACCACTCATTTGGCCCAAAATTGTCCCTCGATGTGTTTGTTGTCAAAAGAGCCTTTTCGGCTCCCAAAACCTTCTCACTTTCTATATAGAGCTTTGCGAGGGTACTTCTCTAAGCAGGGTCCCTTCTAGGTCCTTTCCATAAGGGTGCCGTACTATTGTGGGGCCCCCGAAAAAGTGCCAAACTTTAACCCTAAACCCCAAACCCTAAGCCTTATAACCCCTAGTACCCTAAACCTTATAACACCCTAAACCCTAAAACCTAAACCCTAAACCCTAAACCCTAAACCCCAAACCCTAAACCCTAAACCCTAAACCCCAAACCATAAACCCTAAACCCAACGGAGCCAGGACATCACCGCTTTGGTCTTGTGGCCGGCCTTCGGCCACGGGATCGAAATGGAGGTGGGCGGGACGATTTTAGAACTCAGGGCTTTGCTGGACCCTTGTAAGGAACCTACCTTTTTAGGGCCCCCTAATATGATTTCTTCATATAAGTCCCTCAAAGGGCAGGTTATTTGGGGTTAAGGTTGGAGTTAGAGTATAGGCCTTAGGGTTTAGGGTCTAGATTGAAAATGGAGATGTGTGTGTGTGTGTAGGTCCGTGTGACGTTCCAGCGGCTCTTGTAAGAAGGATCCTGCAAAGTGTGAGTCTCGGTTTAGGGCTTCATGGGGGTGATGCCATTTTGTTGGGTTCGTGTTGGTCTTCATCATGTGGGCCCTTTACCCTTTTTGTTGATCTAGAAACCCTAAACCCTAAACCCTAAACTAGGGCTTGGAAGGGGTTGTTAGACCTGTAGCCGCTGTCGTGTATCCTGCGGCTCACCTCTTCCAGGGTTCCGGGGGTTTGCGGCTGAACAGTCGAGGGTTAGGGCTTAGGGTTTAGGGCTTAGGGTTTAGGGTTTAGGGTTTAGGGGGGTTTTGTGGTTGAGCGGTTTGGGCTTGAGTGGACAGCACAACACGCCTCTTTTGAGCAACATGACTGCCTACATTATACTCAGGTCTTCTCCGTATGCTTTGAATCATGGTCCTCAATTTACTATAGGGGCCTGAATAATTACCTATACGATTCTGGGGGTTCCTACGTTCGCGCCAATACTGACCTGTATGTGAATAGTATTTTGGAGAACATCTATAAACTCCCTAAGCCTAAACTGTTTTAGCGAGACGGGCTTTCAGTTTAGGAGCTGGAGCTCTTCGACCTTAAAACCGAAGTGCCATCTGTGCCTAGAGCCCTGATCATTCCAGGGGTCTGCGTCAGTACTGGTGATCACATTCCCCAAGAGCGCCGGTAGAGACACAAGAACCTCACGTTTCATGACCCCCGAAAACACCAGAAATCCAAACCCAAGAACCCGAAACCCTGAAGCCAAAAGACGCCACCTAACCCAAGAGCCCTTATATAACCCACAGGCTGGCGACATGGTTCGCACAAGCTCTGAGGAGGCAGAGGTGGGATTTCGCGTTTAGGGTTTAGTGGCTGGGGGTTTGAGGATCAAGGATTTAGGGCTTAGGGTTTAGGGGTTACTGGTTTAGGGATTGAGATGAGGAGGGGGAGGCAACTCTTAGGGTCCCCAGCCAAAGAAGGTTTGGAAGCGGTACTATAGAGGCCTTGTCTCAAAAAAGGTGTATTGTACGTTAGTTCAATGAATTAATCAACCTTAGCTAGACCCCCCGAAAGTAGGTAAAATGATGACGCAGTATCCATAAAAGGCCATTATT